CGTGGGGAGCAGTAATGATCCGAAAGCATCCAGAATAAAACATGCAGTATGGCAATCACTTCCAGGGTGCTTGATGCTGTTGAGGTTTTTGGGACTCGCTCTAATCAGAACAACTGAATGAATCCAGATAATTGCGTGTGCCATTGAATGAGCCATCTAAAATGAACTTATGATTGCAGAAAACTTATAGCTGGAACTCACCGTATTTTTTCGAGAAGTGTCATCCTTGTTGTTTGGCAATGGAACTCCAGAATATGAAATTAGGCAGGCAGTGGTCGGAAGAAAAGATATTACAGGATAGTGCAGTTTAAAACAGGATGTGTTAAATGAAGGAACACTGAGATAACTATTTATTCCTTGATTGCATTGTTAGTCAATGTATATTTACGCTATTTACAGGTCATATTTGCTAGATCTTGATGTTGAAACAAGTCTATGTCGCTGAAGCATGTAAATGCTATTAAAGCTTGTTAACGAACCATCAAAGCTAATTGGTTGATATACATGATCAACTTTTATAATCGATTGAGCTAGTAAGTTATGTGAACTAATAGATATAACATTACGATAATATATGTGACAATTATTCAAAGGACTATACGAATACTGGGTTTACAAAAATAAAAACCGATTGATAAGGTTAAGGTGGAAATAAGGATTAACAGTAATGGGTTGCGTTTCTTTAGTTGGGCTCACCAATGTAGAATTATGGTCTACTATGACATTAGTACTGCTCTAATAATAGACATAATCCTAAATTTGTAGATTTGTTATGATATAACTGCCTAATCTATAAGATCGTACGTGGAAGTCACATCATCGACTACACCAACTCACTGTATTGTATCAATTACCAATACATGATGTAGAACAAGGTTAGGCTAGAGAAAGAACAATGTATTTAATATGAATAGAAGATATAAGGTAACATTCAGCAGAGACCACGCCTGCATGGCCGAGCCATGCCGTTCGATCAACTCTAGTCTATTCAACTCATTATTCGCGCCTTCTCCATCGTTAGGTATTTCTTCGCGTTAAATATTGAATACCTATTTTCCGAGTAATCTCGTATTCAGCTTTGAGGATAGTGTAGTTATGGTCCAATGCCACTACAAAGTCATTTAAGTTGTGGAATCGAGTCCAATGTCTTTGAGGACGTCTTTTTGTACTGACCGGTATAGAAAGATCTTTGGAGAACGTAGGTTTACAGTATTCTGAAGGTGCGATGTTGTTGATGATACTTTTGATGTTGTGATAAAATATATGGGTAATGTGTCGGTATTGTTTGAGGTAAAGAATGTTCTCCAATCAGTGCTTCTTAGGTAATTTCGGAAGTTATTCCAATCAACCTTGCGATAGTTTATATGGAGTGTTACGGTTTTACTTCTATCGGTTGTGGTTTTTACATTAAGGCTGCATATGATCACTACCTGGGAACGTTTTTCCAATATACAAAGTATTGGGGATGAGGCCACTGGTGGTAAAGACTAAGTCTAAGATGTTTTGATGTCTGGTAGGGCTATCGACATACTGAGTCCATTGTCCAAGCTCTAGACATTCAATTAATGATTCATAACGTCTCGGCGCTTTGACAGGCAGTCAAGAAATTTCGGGCATATTGAAGTTACCACAAATGAGCTTTCCTGTGAATGAGAGGGATGATGCTAGTGTGAATACCTTTGATAATACTGCTATTTCATCTATTGATGCGTTAGGTTGACGATAAACACAGCCGAGCAGTAAGGTAACGAAATTCAACGGCTTTAATACAATTCATACCGTATCCTTCAGTTTGTTTAGTTCAGGCATATCACATAGTAGTGAGTTTAGGCTAGAGTGAGCATAAATAAGGCATCCTCCGCCTCGTCCATTCAATCTGTCGCTTCTATGTAGAAAGTAGTTATAAAGAGATATACTTCTTTCGGAAATATTATTGTTAGTCCATGTTTCAGTAATTTACTTCGGATTCCGAACAGATTAGAACATATGTCAAAGGAATTCGCGACAAAATTTGTCCATTCTTTTAGAAACCTAGGGTGCATTTCATCGGGTTCCATGGATTTGCCTATAACAACCTCATTCGGCATATCAGAGACATACAGTTTTTCAACAGTGCAGTTTGTGTGGCGGGTTTATATGAAGTGAAGGAAACAGAATATTTACGGTATATGCATTCATAAAGTGCTTTGAAAATACCTGAACTGTACTATCATCGTCATCTTTTATTGATGCAGTACTGATGTCTCCCCATAATATTGAAATACTTCCTCTTGTTTTGGTCATTTGGTTCATGTACAAATATAAGTGTTTAGGGTAGTCTTTAGATTATTTGACAAGTTTTTCTTCGTACAACCTTTTAGACTTGCAGAGGGTTGGGACCAAAATATTTCGAGCTTCCCGATATTTTGATATTTGCCTCCAGACATGTGGTGTGGCTCGGGTTGCCACATGCTCGTAACTGACAACCATATGAAAGTAGGAACTAGAACTTATTGATCACTTCTACCTAGGGATGGTATACAATGGAGTTTGTGGCATCACAATGGTTCAACATGTGATCTAGTAAGAATGATTCTGAATCCGGGTTGTATTTAGTTGCTTCTTTCACGTGATGCTTTAGCGCACATGTGATAATCCCATCAATTTATTTTTGTTCGAATGAACGTTTTGACGGTTCAGTCCTCAGATTTTTCCGGACTACCGTTGAGTCATTAGTCCCCTAAAATTAAACACCAACCACGTGATGATCAAGAGTTGAAACCATGTCGTTCACCTCACAACTCGGACTGCAGTAGATCAAATCAATTGGCATCACTTGTCCTTTTAGTTTCAAGCGTCAAGCAAATTATTCACATGTCTGACTTCCACGGAATATGTTATCAATTACAGTTAGTGGAATACTCTTTTTAATGGAACAGAGCTACTTCTGTTTTAAGCTTCGGGATTCTGTCGGCTCTCATGAATGTGAAACCTTAAAAATCAAGTTCCCTACCGTCAACAGGCTGTGTCAGCCACGTTTCTGTGATTGCGATTACATCCGGCTTGGTAAGGCCTATACGTTTACCAGGCTCCGAACTCTTGCTGAGCAAGCTCCGAACATTTGTGTGACAGATCAAAAAACAAATTAAATGGCTTTATGCTACACTCGAAGGGGCTTCGGCATCATTATGATCAATATGATCAATATCTAATTTTTCAGTTATTTTTGGTAAACTGACTTTTCTTTAGAAATGTGAGGTCGTGTATTGTCCTTAATCTGCACTCACTGATCAACAGACGCTGGAGTCGCCAGCTCAGTGGCGTTATAAACAATGCTGGATCTTCGACGATTGTCAATGACTTCGGTAGTCAGATTGCTGCTTTCCCTGCCAGAAATGGACCAAGATTTGTGGCAAGGCTTTCTAAGTGTTTCCTGCTGGCTTCCATTTGCAGGACTTGGGTTAAAAGAAACTTTTTTCTTTAGATTTTGTTTCTAACAAACCTCTCCATAGGCCATCCTTCCTCCTTTGGTTTTTGTCAGTTAGCTGATTGTAAGTGTATTTGAGAGAGCTTCTCATCACTTAGTTTATCGAACTAGCAAGTACCATTTGACGTGGCTCGATTGAGTTTTCTGATACCTTTTTTTAACAGCACTCACCATTGTAATGGCTTCAGATACCAAGCTGTTTGTGTCTGAGCAGTACTACTGACACAACTACACGCAGATATTTCTGCTTAGTCGTTTGAAAACCACAAGCGTTCAGTTCGTTCAAACTCGTGGTACCATCCTTTGGAGTCATATAATGAACGCCACTTTACACAGAGTATCGACAGCTTTGGGCATTGGCAAGTGCTTTTTGCACTGTCCAGCAACCAACGAGAGGTTTTAACAAAACTAGACACAAACAATACCCACAGTCATGAGAAACTGACGGTCATAAAGAGTAAAAAGCTGTAAACCGTCAGAATCAAAAGTGCGAACATATACAAAACAATCTTGCGCTGAAATGCAGATATGATAAATTACTTTTTAAAAAATCGTGGTGACTAGTTTAGTTAACATAAACTCGATTAAATCGAAAACAGTAATCTTGAGTCGTAATGAATTACCAAAACAATAGAAATAAACTCGACGAAGAAAAACACCACTATCCTTTTTAAATAGTGCGTGTGGCGTTTGTCATCAGCGTTTCTAGACGCTGTAAATTATTTTGCGATAGCTCCGAGTTTAATGAACAGACGGTTTTTCTCTGACATAAACGTCCCCTTCGTTATTCATATCAATTTCACCATTTTACACGTCACTACTCATGTTCCTTATTACTATACTTTATCGGAAAAATCACTGACCACAACCCAACAATAGCAACTTATATGAGATCTATTTACCGGTTAAACTTGTTGTTGATTGGTACACTGAAGAAGTTTCTACATTGTTGAGGATTATGTCAATTTACCCTGCTCCCGATCCTGAACTTCCATAGTTTTGTATCCGTAAATACGTCTCCAAAATAAGTAGTCCTGTGAGTTTTCAACAGGGATGCTGACCTCATCAGTTTTACTGGACAAACCTAGCTGGAGGCTCTCCGTAATGCATATACACCACATCACGAGTGGGTACGTTGCTCTACACATCCATTGCAACTGCTAGTCAGCTTAGATTAGACGCTTCTTGATATATAAATAGGCTTCACGATATATTTTTAAACCTCCTCATTTCTGAATTCTGAATCGAATGAGTTGGCGAACTTAGATTATGAAAGTGTTGCATGTGAATGCATTGTCAAAATCCGAATACCTATACATCATTAGTTTCATGATTTCTACTAGTTGGTGCTACCAGGTCATTCATTATCACTAGGTATTTTTACATAGATATATCTGCATATTTTTATTGTAGTCAAAACACTACAACTGTGTCTAACATGACACAATCTGTAGAAGTTTCAGCTCATCATTTTGCCAGGTTCAAGGTCACCAAAAGTCCTGGCAAGTATTTGAAGGTGGCGGGAATTTTTAGTGTTCGCTAAGACTGCACGTTGTTGGGCTGTACTACTATATTAAGTTGGAGGTCCAAAATGCAGCCAATTTGAATTTAAACCGTATTAAATGTAGTCGCTTTTCTTATGAATTCCCTGTGCTCCATCCACTTGCGTCGAGTAGCAACACGACTTCGAAATATGTTAATAACCAATGTGGCCAGTTTTTGTGTTTTGGGGAAATTTTTGCGAAGCCGATATAGAAAACTAGGGAAATGGCACAAAACCTCAGAAGTTTTGGCGACTTTTGAGAAACCCATTTGCGTTCTGTGATCAGACTCAAATGTTTTTTTTTTTTGCATTTTAATTGCATTCTGACGATTTCGCATTATCCCTTATACTGCATTCGGAAAACCACAAGATCGCCAGTTGTGCAAGAAACCCAATCGGCTTATTACCCAAAAGTTACATCTCATCTAGCCCATCTTTTTCAGCTAAGTTCTCAAAGTGAACGTAGTTCTAAACCAGTTAAACCATAGTTGGTAACAAGAGTCAGTCTGTCGCGATATATAAGCATTGCCGTAATTAGAAAAACTGAAATTTTTAATAAAACTCAAAACCAGTACAAATTGTCCATTAGTGAATAACGTCTTCGAATTCTTAGCAATCGCTAATGCGTTCAGATTGATTACATTAGGTTGATGTTGAACTTTCATTCACAATGTCCTTCAAAAAATTACTCTTCTGCATCACAAACTCAGTATCGAAACAGCCAAATTGCTAATGGTAGACTAACGATTGCCCTATGTCATACCAATTATTCACGCGACTATCGTAACTAATAGTTGGAGACTGGGTAACGTGGCTCATAATCGATCACAACGGCGTAGGTATATACACTCTCTGTCTTCCCGTAAACTGTGAGATTAAAATTGCTATAAACCCTTCTTTCTATCAACTAGTTCTTTCTTCCTGTACTATATGCTTATACACAATCTTTCCTTTATATATTACTACCATTGAAGTGACTACTTCTATGAATTCGGTGTTCATCTTGTGCTAATGAGGTGTGGCAACTTAGACCGATGCATATATGCGCCTGGTTCTATGTTGTAGCTGACTGACTGAATCATCCAACCTATGAGTCCATATTGCCATGCAAGAATTTACTTACGCACCAAGGGTATAACAATAATGTTCGCTGAATTAAAGACTTTCAGTTAGGTCTATAAACACTTGCGAAGCCAGGTAAAATATATGGATAAGGAATAATTATTTCAGTATAAATGTTTACCAAGTCTGCAGATTTGGTATTTACCTTGTTGTTTTGTTATCAGTGTTCACAAGAAAATAGATGATATATGAGCTAAAACATCTCATCAGTTTTAATTCTTTTTTCTTCTGACTCATGTGGTTGTATTTTTCATTTTCAGATTCATTTCTTAAAAGATTTGCCATGTCATATGCTTCAGCGGTCGATATTTCAAAAGTTTCTGACCCATCGTTTGATCAGGGTGCTCATGAAAATATATTCGCTCTAGACATCGGTGGTTCACTTGCGAAATTAGTATACAAACGCGTCTTCCGGTATAGACGTTCTATACCCCAGCAATGTCGTAAAAGTGTCAGTGAAAATGAAATACCTTTTGACTTTTATGAGTACACAGAACACGAAGACGAAGGACAAAAACTATGTTTCATGAAATTTGAAACTAAGAACATAGAAGAATGTTTGGATTTCATTCTTTTTAACATAACACATCAAGGTGATTTATCCAAAAAAACAATTAATAAGATCAAGGTGACTGGTGGGGGTGCTTATCGCTATCGTGAACTGATTTGTTCGAAGTTGGGAGTTGAATTGGATAAAGAAGATGAAATGGATTGTCTTGTAAGAGGATGTGTATTTATGCTTCGAAACATCCCAGATGAGTTATTTTATTATGACAAACATGCTACTCCAGCTCACGTCTTTGTTCCAAATTGCTTGGTTAGTACGTTCCCTTTCCTTTTGGTCAATGTTGGGTCTGGCGTTAGTTTCTTGAAAGTTAAAAGTCCCACGTCTTACCAAAGGGTTGGTGGAACGTCTATTGGGGGTGGCACTTTTTGGGGTTTAGGAACGCTGTTATCTGGAGGTAAGACTATATCATGAACTATTACTCTTCACTTTTTGAAGCATATCTCTTTCACAGTAATCAATAAAACGTTAGTTAAATCACTTTGAATTAAAACTTTAGTTTTGCTAGTTTTTGCATGAAGTAAAGCCAAGTCATCATCTACAGTCTGATTTAGTTTCACTGGCATCATTGATGTCCTAAAAAAACTTGTACAGTTTCCTGAACAGTTAAATTTTCCGTATTATTAAAGTCATGACATATCGATGCCCTTATATGTATGTAGTGAATATGATAAAGACTACTACTGGTTGTTTTGTCTGAAATTCATTATGGGCGCGATAACTTTTTTTCCTGTGTTACTGTCGTGTTCTGCTAGTAATTTTGATAACTTTAATACTATAGGAAAGTTTACTTTCGATGAGCTTCTGGAAATGGCGGATTCCGGTGACCACCGCAATGTTGACATGTTAGTACGCGATATATATGGAGGTGCGTATGAAACACTTGGACTTTCTGGGGATGTAATTGCGAGCTCATTTGGTTTAGCCGCCCGTCATCCAGAACAACCTCGTGTTTTAGGTGATATGGTGAAGTCCCTACTAATTACAGTTAGCAAGTAAGTGTTCAGTATTTCGTTCGCTTACTATACAGCTAATAAATTCCGTATTATATCCTGTAAACTTTAACAGTAAAGGCGTTAGTAATGACTTCCAATCATACATCATTCTGTCTATTGATCATATATAATATCTTATTACTTTATCAAATGGCATGATCTTTTGATATATGGCATTTTTTATCATGGAACAATTTTCTCCAATTTTAACAACTGAAACTGAAGGTATCTTCAAAATCAGTAGTAGTTTCTGCTATCGATTTATGTTTCACAAGAACAAAAATAATTACTGATACGTTCTTTAGTCTATCGCTTAGTCGGTCACTGGTATATACTTAAATGTGTGAAAACTCAGACCCCATCAATATCTTTTTTTCTGTTTTTACATTTTTATATGTTCTCATAATTAGAATCTCCTCGGACAACAAGCAACCGTGAAAACAGGATTTAAAGACGACAGATTTTGATTTGTAATTATAATCCTTTTTTAAAGCTTATCACTCATATGATGATCAATTACTCAAAATCGAATCATAAAGTCTCCCGACATCATTTTGTGGCAATTAATTTTCGGTTCTTTACGCTATATGAATAGTTGCATAAGTTGCGATGTATCAATTCATTTCTCGACCGCCACATTTTCCACGCGTTCATAAAATTATGTGTATGTCATGAGAAGTTTATTGTATGATTCACTTTTGCTTTATAAAGGTTTTTTTTATCTATTTGCCGCTTTATTTGTGAAAATTAGCATCAAACTTGAATTATCAACGTAGGTATTCATCTACTGCATTGATCTGAATTGTAATTTTGTGGTTACTGGTTCTTTTTTAACTTATAAAATCATATAAGTGCGTGTCTGTCAACTTTCGTTTGCATCAATACGTTTTAATATCAGTCAGTCAATCAGCTACAACATAGGACCAGGCGCATATATGCATCGGTCTAAGTTGCCACACCTCATTAGCACAAGATGAACACCGAATTCATAGAAGTAGTCACTTCAATGGTAGTAATATATAAAGGAAAGATTGTGTATAAGCATATAGTACAGGAAGAAAGAACTAGTTGATAGAAAGAAGGGTTTATAGCAATTTTAATCTCACAGTTTAAGGGAAGACAGAGAGTGTATATACCTACGTCGTTGTGATCGATTATGAGTCATGTCGCACAAAGTCTCCAACCACTGGTTATTATAGTCGCGCGGACCCCAATCAAGTAGTTTGCATCTACTAACATGGCTAAAACAGGAAGTTAGTGACCTAAAGCACTGATGCCACGTTTTCGTTTGGCCGCTCCTAATTTTCTTCCAACCATCCCCAACACTAGTCAGTATTACACGTCGTGGTAATCGGTGTTCAGGCATACTCAACACATGGCCCAACCATCTCAGTCGATGAAGATTTACCTCATCAACTGATTTACTATAATCCCCTAATCCCCTGTGTCTAACCTAACTATTAATTACCCAGTGATCCCAGAAGATGTGAGAAATATTTAAAAGACATTTGTGGTCAAATACTAGTATCTTATAAGTATTTTGTACTCTTAATGGTCACGTTTCGCAGCTGTAAAGTAAAACAGAACGAACTGCTATGTAGTATGTTCGTCGTTTTATTGATAGACGAATATCTCGCCCTTGCCATAGGTGACATAAGGTGGCAAAAGCTAAACGAGTTTTTCGAATTCGTGCTGAGATTTCGTCAGACACCAACCCATTGGGGCTGATCAGACTTCCAAGATAAGTAAAGCTATCGACCCGTTCGACTACTTCACTCCCTATCTTTAGTTGACGCAGGTCAGTTCTGGAGCAACAACTTGCATTTCGAGGGAGAGAAACGCGTCCCAAACGTCCTGGCATTGATGCTCAGTGCTACCAAAACACTGCATTTTATCAGCGTCCTCACCAAACAGGACTATATCATCTGCATATTCCAATTCGATAAGTGGACCTTCTGGTAAAAAATCAATGTCTGAAAATTTAGTCGACGAGAATGTTATTTCCATCAATAGGTCTATGATGAAATTGAACAAAAATGGAGATACTGGACAGCCTTGATGAACACCACTTGAGGTTGAGTTCGCCATAAGCTCTGAGTCGACTAGTAGTGTTCGAGTAAAGAGCCTTCACAAGGTTTATGTACTTCTGAGGTACGCCTTCCAATGACAGACATTGCCACAGAACATCTCGATCTACATAGTCGAATGCTGCTTTTAAGTCAAGAAAGACCACCATTATCGGACGCCGATAAGCATACCTGTGTTCTAGAACTTGACGAATGGTGAGTATGCGGTCGATGCAGCCACAACCAAGTCTGAAGTCAACCTGATTTTCTCGCGTTCATGGTTCACAATTCTTTGTTAGGCGCTCAATAATTATTGAAGCTAGTATTTTAGTCAAAATAATCCCTATATGGTTATCACAGGATGATTTTAACCCCTTCTTATATATTGGGACAATCAGTGATTGCGACCAGTCAGATGGAATTAGGTCCAACTCCCAAATTTTAGTTAAAATATTAGTCAGCCTAATCGCTAAAATTGAACCATCATCCTTAAAGACCTGGAGCCAATCCATTTGGACCAGCTGCTCTTCCGTGTTTCGGATTAGCTATAGCCTTTTGAACTTCAGGTAGAGTCGTGGGACCTACTTCAATGTTCCATTCAGGCGGTCTGGGAATGGAGGGTAGTTGTAGAGTAGCTGAACTTCTCCCCAAAGTGTTCTGCTCATCGTTCTAAACGTCTGGACTAGGAGCAGATAAGAGTGTCGTCTTTTTCCGAGATAGTCTCACTTACACTTGACTTCTTAATGCCAGTTTCTTATATTAGTCCCGAAAGCTGTCTTGTGTTACCTATAGCCGCCGCCTTTTCCATCTCTTGCTTCCGTTGCTCACCACTGCTCACGGTCGTTCCTTCGACTTTTGGTTAACCTAGACCTGATGTGTAGGTATCATTACCAAGGTTTGACTTCATAATTCCGAATAAATTGAGCATTGGGTAGATTTTTATGAATAAAAAGCAATATGTTGGTAATATCCTAATTAGTAGAAAAATTAGGTTTTCTGACATTTAGTGACTTAGTGTAAGCCACTTCTTCAGAGAACAAATAAATAACCAAATCAAAATTAAACCAAGTTTAAATAGTATAAACAAAACAACAAAAATATCATGAGATGGAGTTGTCAAGATAAATATCGAATCAATAGAAATGGTAGTAATGATAATAAAACAGAATAAACACAGAATATGATATAAGAAGAAAGAATGGAGTTGTGGGGTAGCAGTATTGAGCAGTTTTAAAACTCAGGGAGTGGGACTAGAAAAATGCATCCACCTTACTGTAACCATTTTTGAAACATCTCATTGTCTCCGACTATCAGTTACGATACCCATAAGTACCTTGATCGAGTAGCCTGCACCTACCGTTTCTTGTTTTAGCCATTCCTACCTCTTTCTATCTACTTCGATGCCAACCAACATTGTGCATTAACATAGACAGTGGTTGAGTATATGCAGTACGTGTCTCAGCCACGTAAGTCGATAGAGACACATCTTCACCAACCGATTTGCTATATTTTACCAGTGTCCTGAGTCTAACCTTACCGTCGCTTTTTCAGTGGTCTCACGATAGACAGGCTATGTTTCAGTAAGATATGTAATCATATACTAGTTATTTTCGAGTATGTTTCAGATTGGTTCGTCTGTAATTATCACAGAGATTTATGCCCTTTCTTATAACTCGGATCAGTTAATGAGGGAGACCATTCATATGAGATTATGTCCAGCTCCTAAGCTCTACCATTTTATGAGGCTACAGATCATTAAATATTCTTAAATATCGGATTCAGTATTGTATTGTTTATCGGCGTAGATTATTTAGTAGGCGGATGTCCTCCATCTTGGTTTACATAATAAGTTATCCAGTTCTAAGATGATTCTAACGGTAAACTCATTGTAAACGGAAAACTGTCATGATCCAGAGAGCCATGGACAGTGGTTTCATATCTGTTCCTAACTCACCAACTTCACTTACTTCTGATTCCATGAAGAATGAAATCATCCCACATAAAACTATGTTATATATATATATATATATATATATATATATATATATATATATATATATATACTAACATTATTTTTCTTGATTATTATTTACAGTAATATAGGTCAATTGGCTTGTCTATATGCTAAACAGTATAACCTTACACGAATTCTTTTTGGGGGATATTTTATTCGGGGACATGGGTTAACAATGGAAGTAAGCATTTTCCTTTGGGGATGAAAATTACACTTTTATTATGATATGTTCTCGTTAATGAAGCTATCGACCGCCTAGTATACATCTCACTCCTTGGAGTACATCTAGATTGTCATAGTCACAAACAACATAGAGCATGGCGTAAATGTGAGTGTCCAAATCCCCACCATTTACACGAACACAATACGATGAAATGAATATGACATAAAGTAAACGAGTAGAAATTATAATTCCAACGGGATTGACAAGTTAAATATGATGGATACCGTTCGAAAAAAAGAAAAGTATATGATAATATCGAAACTTAAGATTCAGAAGAAAACTAACAATAAATTCATCCACGTCTCTGACCGGCCCCATTCCACGTTGCCTAATATCCTTCACGATAGATTATAATTGCCTACTAGATCTCGGTCAGGAAAATGAACACATCCCAACATAGCTTATTCCCACTGTCAGTCATTTGATTTACTGCTGCCATGTCATGATTTGGGATCAAATAACACTTTTTCAACATGCCCTTCCCCTAACTAGCATATAGTATCAGAGTAGATGTTAACTGCGGTAAGGAAACACTGTTTTGTGTGGAAATATAGGGACGAGTACAATTGTTTACAGTATTTGTAAATACAGTTTAGTGATTAGATTAGGATGATCCAAATACAGGAAAAATGCCTTTCTGATTTTCAAAGGAGAAAGTTTATCGAAGTCTTCAAAGTCAGACTCCAGCGTACTTATGAGATTTTAATGTCAAATTATGTTTTGGGGTTATAAGATGAGAAACACAAGTAAATGCTAGTATCTGGTCATCTTTGAGAATTATTATTCCGTCAATAATAAATTTATTTTTCTGGATGATAATTATTGTCCATTTGGTTTGAATTTAATCAAATCTGATACTGAAAGTCAATAATGGTCTCATGCTTTGTTTTACTGCCACTGCGATAACGTTCTGTATGCTGTAAAAAGTTAGTAAATTGTGTAAAATGCTTCCTACTATCACTAGAATCAAGGGAATTTATCATATTCCTTGGAGTTCACTAATTCTATCCATTTAGCTTCATCGTTGACATTCTCAATTTAATATTTCTGTCGAATTTCATTTAAGCTTATTATGAACTGTGTAATGTTATTCTGCTTTACATTGTAAATGTTGATCTAACGCATTAACTTTCATGCTTTTTGTCTATTCAGGTAATTACTTATGCCGTTCGGTTTTGGTCAGGCGGAGAATACAAAGCCTTATTTTTACGGCATGAAGGGTATTTAGGGGCAGTAGGTGCATTTCTGAAAACTTGTAAGAATAATAATTCAACGGAACGAAAAGCACTTTGGTCTGAGAACTATGTAGTTAGCTCGAGTAATACTCCGTTCTCTGATAATCCGTTTGAATCAAAACCATATGCGACCAATCACAGTAAAGGAGAAACTGATTTCAATAAAGTTCCTCCTCATGATCTGTCAATTGTGAATTTTTCAGTTGGTAAAGTACCGAATCCAAAACACTTAATAATCGCTCAAAAAGCAGAAGAAAGCAAGTCTACTTTAAAGAGTTCTTCAAAGTCTACGTCACAGAAACACGAAATTTCAAAACTGCCTAACTTTGAACTCGATCGTGTGTTTACACATTCTCTAGAAATGTTTCATTTACTAGAGTCACCCGCAAATTATTCACCAGATACATGGGATCTAACTCACGATGAAGAAGCCAGGATTTATTGGTTAGGTTGTTTCGAAGTAAGTAGTATTAAATAGATTTAATTGGAGTTTTGTTCTCTGAGCTGAATGGTTTGGTCGTGGATTTTCGATTGTTCATCTGAATAAAATCATCAGCACAAACTTCAGATAGAAGTGAAGTGCTCGATTAGTGGTTAAACGCCATGACGTCTCATATAAATGTATGTGGACAACTGTGGACATACATTCAAGTAAAAAATGTTGAAATCTTGGATGGAGGGAATACCAAAAGCACCAGAGAATTTTTAGAAGCTTGATACTTAAATCAATCAGCAAACATATTGAAATCAATTCAATCTATCAATCAATCAGGAAAATAATAAACAAATATAGGACCAGAAATCGAATAAATGGGAGATACAATCAAAATAAAGAAGTAGTCCATAACAAGTTAGAGTTCAACAATAACCAATCAACATTGAGATCTACAGAACAAACTGAGTTATTTGTGGAGAAATTCTAACATTTCACTTCTGCCTGAAGTTTGTGTTGATGATATTGTTTAGAAGAATAATGAATGTTCCTCGACGAAGCCATCTAACTCAGAAAAATTCCTTCAAATTAAACAAAACTATAAAATAATTTTCTAACTCATTTTGATTTTGATGGTAATTTTATTTGCTTTATTTCTTAAATTCATATACATTTTAGTAGAACTGAACACTTAAAGTATTATAAAATTCATAAATAAGAAAATATTAAATTTCATAAATTAACTAGGTAGAATAGAGGTACACTCAGTAAAAGCCTAATAGGATTCAATAAAAATAGTATATGACATAAGGTACAGTTCAATTAAGGCTACAACTAAGAAAAAACTACTTTTCATTGAAGTATTCATAAAATCGATTATTCAGCGAGTTGAAATCTTTTTTTTTGCTAAGAAACAACTTGCAAAAGAAACAGGTTGTTAAATGAATTAGAAAATATAAAATTGAAATGAAATGAAGTAGAAAGTTGAAGCAGCGTAAAATTAATTCACTTATTCTACAGTCCTTGTGAGTATTGTTTGAATAGGTAGCTAAGCACAACGAGTAAGTCAGTTCCTTCATAATTATTCATTTACATATGTCAATAGTATGATGTTGTGTATGGAATATGAACAGGTTCGATTGCAATTGTCTGAAAATCGTCATCCATGGATTTTTTTCAGAGTATTTATTTACTCAATATGATACTAAGCCTTTATGAACTAATATTAAATTAGTGAAAAAGGTTAAAGTTTAATGCACTTAACCTATAACATGTTGCGTTTCCCACTTTACCCCAACAACACTAATTTCCATGAACTGGCCACGATAAATAATAACGTCCACGGATAATTCTACTGTGCCTAATCCCCAATCTGTGCACGTTAAAAGTCAACTGACGTACCTTCGGTCATATTTTAATTTAAAGATTCACTTCTGTACATTAATTCCAAGACAACAACAATCCATAAATACGAACTCTCAGTCTGTATAAAACTAGGCCATTTATGGTACAGTACTGAATAACAGGTATCATTTTTATTGATATCACAAACCGATATATGTTAAACAGCCATTGAAAACCTGAAAGCATTGGACGACCGCTTCGTTCTAGTGTGGGACTGTTCAAAAATGGGCATTTGCGACCCCGTAACCGAAAACTAAACCCAGGACTTTTGGTCTTGTATGCAAACACTTAGCCTTTAGACAAGTAAACTGCAATCCAATGGCGAAGAAGCTTAACTTCGATCAATACACTATCGAATTTGTTAACTTTTCTAGATAATGCAGTAAGAAAACGGAGTTTATCGAAACTATTTGATAATTTAGGGCCGTATATTTTGAGAAAGTGGACTACACATTTACTTGTTAAAACATTCAAGCATTAATAAAAACAAGGATTGCCCCCAAATACCCTGGTACGGCCGAGGGTGGAGAGAGTTTTTCCCCCCTCTCGAAATGCTCTCACATGGCCACGCGTATACAGCCACTGCCGGGGAAGTTCTACTCACTGCCTTCTCGTGGCGGGGGTGTTGTTTACAAAATTGAGAGGACGAAAAGCGAATTTTCAGCGCCTTAATCGGGTTGGAAAACACTGCGGGTTCACCTGGGGGAGTTGGAAAGCCTTGATTCCAAACCAATGGTGCACATGGGCTCCAGTATCCTGAAGGGACAAATGGCGTGTGAACCAATTGTTGGTCATCGGTTAACATGGGACTGCACCTCCTGACGTTGCTCCACTACTTTGTGTATCAAACCTTTAGGTCGAAGGCTCCGGGCGTGACCCCCTAAGAAAAACACCTGCTTCGGTTTGGGCACTCGAGCAGTATCATAGCTCACACACAAATTAAGTAACGTGTAGTGCATACGGATTTGGCGCTATTTGTACCAATATTTATGTGTTCAAAGAAAAACAAGGATCAAATCAGGCTGATTTATGAGACGAAAATTATCCAAAGTGGTATGATTCATACTGTTTTATACCGATTGTCTTTGTTTTTCTCTTAAATTTTACTGTTTAATATGACCTATTGTTCACATACAAATATGTTAACAAGTTAATATGTGATCACATTATTCTAAATATATTGCGCTCATACATCACATTGCTCTGATAAATTTTATCGTCTTATGGCATTTGATCAGGGCGATTGATTATTTTAACTGTAAGTTATGAACAGTAAAAGACAAACCAACAAATCATGAGTCAGATGAGAACTCGTTGCTGAAACAGTCTAAAAATACCATAAATGAATTTTTGTACGCATGCACACTATACTTGCGTGTTGGGTCGTCTTATGATAGTTTTCAAAGCTTTGGATTTTTAATTTTTTTGCACATTTCCATTAAAACAGATGATTTATCTCCAGATTTTGTGATCCAAATTGAGAGTCAAAAGTTTAATATACTGATATTAATGTATATTATGAAATTTGTTTGTCCTTTGCTTTATTTATTACTGAAAAATGTACTTCTCACTCACTAAATCAGTCGAACTGTAAGAATTCCTTCATTTTATCAGTGATTTAAAGAAGAATGAATGAACGTTTTAAATTGCCATGGTTAGCAATTTCTATTAACTAAAATAAGAATTCCAGAGTGATTACTTTCATGAGTCATCTGTAAGTGAATTTCAAACATGTCAATGGAAAGGGAATGGATTTTAAGTGTATGTTTCCTAGTCCAATCGTTTACTAATGCTAGTTGGCTTCTGTTTTTATGTCCTAATTTATCAGTTTTCTCGGTCTAAAATGTCTCAATAAATCTTGTTTGAAATTAATGTCTGGTAATTGTTAAGTAACCAAGTTATAGAAAACATTTTATTAGTAAAACGTAACGTGTTTTATCAATTACGTCACATAGTACATTCTTTTACTGCAGTATTCAGTATCACTCAGCTTCAATAATTATCTAATGTAATTTATTTGGTTTTTGTATATTCCAGAGCTGTATAGAATATCACAGAGCAAAAGCTGAAGAAAGTCAATCTGACACATTATCAGATGCCTCTGACCGTTCTCATCAGTTCGCTGAACGATATAAACGATTTCTACGTGAATTGAGTGCTGATCCAAGTGGTCGTGGAGTGCTTACTGTAAGATGCCTTTTATCCGCTCAACAGCATTTCCTACGTGAATATGGATTTGGAGATGTCTTTTGTTTACAGAAAAGAGTAAGTAAAAAAATTTAATAAGATGTAAGAAAACTCGTTTACATAGTAGTTTCGTTACTCGTCTTTCAATCATTGACTAGCATTGTCCACTGTCAAACATTAATCTGAGTCTCACCGTCTGACTCATAGACATGCAATTTGGCTGTTCAGTTGCGTTAAACATTTCTGATTGTTCATGTGTAATAAAATATTCATCTTATAATATTAAAAAGGCATTAAAAGGTATCTGTTTAAAGTGTTATCAATTTTATTTATCATAAATGGTTCGTTTTTGTTTTGTTTTGAAAGTTTGAAAATCGAGGTGCTCTTTCTGCTCTTATGGATCGATTAGGTGAACTTTCTAAATTGGATTGGTCTAATCGTCAACTGTCTTTGATTGAAGGTCTTTTGGCTGGTAATATGTTTGATTGGGGTGCAGCTGAGGCGATTCAATTCCTAAAGGAAGCTCCAAAGAATAAATTTGGTGCAGCTGACTTTCATGTTATATTAGATAAAGTTCAGGTGGGTTGAAATCTTTGTACAAAAGAGTTTTTTCAGAGGACAAACGGCTAAAATTTTCACTACTGAGTTATAAGTTTTAATCTTTTCTCGCTGAATTTATCTTAGAAATCCGCGCACTATGTTCAGTTTTGACAGGTGTACTTCGAAATCCTGCTTATAAACCTCTTTCTGTTTACAAGGTTGTCTCTCAGTGCAGAACATTTTTAAATTGTTCGCTTCATCAACCACCATACTTATAGGTATAAATCGATAAAGCTATGCTCATATACAGGTAAATTTCTATTATTTATATCTTTTTTAATTATATTGTTTTTTATGGAATTATTCATTATTACCAGATATTTATATTTTTTTCTCATAGTCTAGACCTTGGTTAGTTGACAATTATGATAATTGGATTGATCGAATCAGCGTGTCCGGATCACCTTATCGTTGTATTTTAATTTTCTGCGATAATAGTGGTGCAGATATTATACTTGGTGTACTACCATTTGCTATGGAATTTCTAAATCGTGGATGTAAAGTAATAATGGCGGCTAATTCAAGTAAACAGGATTTAATAAATTAGTAGACTTTGATTCATGATGTTGTCTAGTTACTGTTTAATTATATTCAATTGTTTAAACTATCATCTGTTCACGTTTAATTGGTAGAGGATGGTAGAAATTGAGTAATTACATGATCTAGGCTTTTTTTTTCTAAACGTCTTCCGATCTCCGTATGTTTTCTTTAAATAGTGAAACTTCAAAACGCTTTTGGCCATTTCCTGTCACTTTTTCGAGTTGATCAATTTTCAGCATATTACTTATTCTGGCTAGATGTTTCTGCGTCCTATTAAGTGGACTTTTGAAAGACTATTCCCTATTGGGTGAAATCTTTAAAGTTGTGGTGTTAGTAGTAAAGCGTATGATACAATTATGGATATGGTTGTGCTCAGTGAATAACTTAAATCTGACTAACAATGACTAACCACAATTATTTTATACTAACGAGTTTTTATTTTTTGTCAGAGTGAATTATAAATGCATTAAAGTAAATGCACGTAATTCAAAGCATAAAACCCTTATAGTAATTTATTTAGCATATATATTTTTTGCGACAAAATTGTCATAAAGTAAAAAGGACTAGTACAAAGCAATTGTCAATTTATTTCCGTTACTTAATTTTCCGTTGTTTTGGGTAAAACTTTAGGTAACAATAAGATGTGTTAGATTGGGGCATACTCATTAGGGCGAGAGTGAAAATACAATTATGAGCCATATTAGGTTCAGGAAATATAACGAAATCCACTGACAAAGATAAAAATTTTTAGCAATTAAATCTGTAAAACAGTAGATAAACGGAAAAATCCCGGTGCTTTTTTATGTTGATGACCACTTTTCTTTTACATTAGTAGTTCAATGAATAAAGTATTCGATTTTCGGCTACTTGATTAAAGGTTCTAATTCTGTTCTATTTATTTAGACTTAAATAACTAACTAGTTTGTAGCACTATTCCTATTACTTAGTGTATAGCTCAATGTCAAGTATACAAAGCTGTATCTTGTTGATGAGTTAATAATAATAATAATAATGATCATAATGTTTAGGTCTCACCTTTTTTGAGTAAGTATAGCATTTCATTTTGTTTAGGGACTTTTAAGAAAATGTTTATTGATTTCTACCTTAAATTTACTTTTTGTCAAGTTTTTGCATAACTTGTGCATATTTCAATGTTTTATTGTTTATATAAGTATTTTTCTTTGTCTAGGTCCTGCTATCAATGATATAACTTATCAAGAATTGGAACTACTCCTACACATGATAGCATCTTTTGAGCCTTTAATAGCTGAATCTCTTAATAATGGACAACTTATGTTAGCTGAAAATGGCCAAACTTCACCTTGTCTAGATTTTCGTCTAATTGCTAGCTCGTTGGTTCAGTTGGCAGAACGGGAACAGGTAAAATTTTGTATATATGTAACTTTATTTTAATCTGAATAGATCATTCCATAGTTGTTTTTCGCTATTTATGTTGTCCGGTAGTAATTTGTAGTAAATAATTTTCAAATTTTTAATCCCTAATTTAAAAAAAATAATTTTGTTGATTCACTAGTCCGTTGGAATTACTGACAATTTCTGTCATTATGTATTATGTATGTTATATAATACTGACTCGAATCGTACTCATCTCTGTTAGCATCAAATCTTGTAATCTTACTGCATATCTGTTTGTGTTGTCGTCTCCATTCTCTGCCCGAAGGACATATGAGTTCACATTATCGAACGTCCTGTAATCATGTTCATATGAAATCGTAATTTGAAACTCTGAAATTTTTCAACATTTGTAAAATATAATCATGTGCTCAATGTTTATTATATAGGTCGACTTGATTGTCATTGAAGGTATGGGTCGAGCAATTCATTGCAATTTAAATGCAAAATTCACCGTCGATACACTCAAAATAGCTGTGATTAAAAATTCTTGGCTTGCACGAAGGTTAGGCGGTCAGCTATATGGTGTGATATTTAAATTTGAACCTGTTTTAAAGTCAAGATAATATTCTGAAAATTATGTAAATTGTTGTTGTATCAAGAGAGTTGTTTACATGAATTAATTAATTGATTCCATATAGTATTAAAAATGTATCTAGCTCAGTTGCTGAACAATACCTTCATTTCTTATATTCCTTGCTTCTTGTTACATTAAATCATACCATACACTACTACGTACTTATTGTTAGATACTACTTCCGGAACATTCCTTGACAAATATTTGACAGCTAACTAATTTTTTTGCAAATTACTGTCAAAGTATACACTAGTTACTTTCTATTCATCTTTATTATTATTATTTCTATATAATTGTAATAATGTTACATGAAAACATTTCAGATTAATCAAATATTGGCTGTAAAATTATTTGATTTCTTTGTGATGTGTTCTGTTAGTAATAATTATTTAATAATTTATAATGGTTTAACCTTATCTTTGTTACCATGGTCGTTATCTTTGATATTGTCATCATTGTTTACCATCGACTTTTCTCGTGTGTTTTTTCTCATCGTAATAGTTGTATTTTTCTCTTCCAACTTTGTATAGATTTACTGTCCTTTAATATTAGACTTGGGATTAAATGTAATTTTTAATCAACATGTAAACATTCTGTACAAAACTCATTATTCAATATAATTTTAGTATATTTCAAAATTTCTAATCTTTTTACTATTTTTAAAATATAATCTACTTTCAATGTTTTTAAGTAGTCTTTTTACTAATGATATTCTTTCTTTATTACGCATCTATTTGATTGTGTTTTCTCCCTTTTTTAATATTATTCTCATTTAGTCCTATAATTAATCATCTAAAAAAGAAGATTTTAGTTCGTTTAATAACTGAATTTTAAAAAAATGAACGTCAATTAAGTTGTGTTCTTTGAATTTGTTCACTTAGTTACTGTGCCAATTTATTTTCAAGCAATTCCTCTTTTTTTGTTAATTGAGAACAGAAAAAAAAATGGAAAAATTGATGTTTGTCCTTTTTTTTAATAACAAAACATTTATCGCATGAATTAGTTATTTTCTAAAAAAAAAGTAATGTATCAGTATTTAGTTTATCAGTATTTGTAAAATGTCGTATCAGTGATGTTTTTAATTTCAAATACACTTTGGGTAATATGTTATTTTTCCTCGATAATGCCTTACGTTACAAGCATTATAAACAGAGATGGATGGTAGTTAGCAGCGGAATATAGGACTATGGCTCGGATAGCTTAGTTGTAACGTCTCTGACTGTGAAGCTGGGTGACACGAGATCGAATCCGCCAGGGAGCACCAGTTCCCTCAAGATTACAGGTACACCTTGCTGACGAGTGCCAAGTAGCTTGAAACCCGGGTCCAGGGTTTCCTGTCGACTACCTCCAACCACCATCGAATCTCAATATACAGTGCCCGCAATGTCGAGGCACCTAAACTGGTGGCCACATTGCAACATGGTCGATAGCATTCAATCTGCACTAATAAGGACTAGATACGCATGACATTGATTGCCACCCAGTGATCAATCAATTGGGAAGAATCGTCACTCGGTCCAAGATTTTCTGACTTTTCTACGAAAATTGAGGAACGCCACACATAACTAAAACTCGGAAATCTTGTCTTTGTTGTATTGTGTATGCATTTTTTATTACCTTGTTAGTGCTGATCGGTTTCTATCGACCTAGTTGCAGTGTGTCCCCTAGTTTCTCAAGCTTACAGGCAAACATTCCTGGTAAGTGTCAAACAGCATGAAACTTAGGTACGGGGTTTTCCTATCAGTTACTGCTTACAAACGTGTTATATTTCTGAAAATACCACATAGATTCATTTAATGATAATTTTTGATCACTTTGTTAAGTGATTCAACATCCATTTTATTCAATACATGAGAGTTTACAATAATTTAATTCATTTTATGGTATAACACTAATTCATCTGTTATGGACATTTATATTTCGTACTTGATTACTTTTAACTATCTTTGATAATTTTGTTTAATGATTTCACCCACCTCGGTATCATTATAAACTACTACATATATAAAATGACCTTTCTTAATATTATTTTTATTTCGTAAAAATCGACCAATGATCATACTAACAATATGAGCCCCAAAATGCACTGATACACCTGAGGATGGAAAGAGTCAGCTCTCTGTCTCTCGAAATGCTTTCATATAGTTACGCGTATACAGCCGCTGCCAGGAAAGTCCTACTTACTTACTACCTTCTCGCGATGGGGTTGTTGTTTACAAAATTGAGAAAACGAAAAGCGAAAGTCCGGCACTCTAACCAGATTGGTGGGTACGGAGGATCCACATTGGGAAGTTGAAAAACCTTGATACCAATCCAGTGGTGCACATGGGCTCCAGGATCGTGACGGGATAAATGGCGTATGAACCAATTGTTATTCGGCGGCTTCCATGGGACTGCATCTCCTGACGTTGCCCCACTACCTTGTCGATTAGACCTTCACATCGAAGACTCGTGGTGTTACCTCCTAAGAAAACTACCTGCTTCGGTTTGGGCATCCGAGCAGTATTCCAACCCTCACACATATCGAATGATTTATGTGGCGCATATATGTAGTACATTCTTGTACCAATGTTTATATGTATTAATAATAAACAATATAAACTTATTATTCGAAGTATTTCTTATTTGTGTATATACAAAAACAAACAAGAATAAATTGTTTTTCATAATTATCATTATTATACTTACATAAAAAATATAATAAAATGTCGATTACTTCATAATGTGTATAGATAAACACAATTACGTGAATGTATAGTACATTACGACTATTGAAAAACTTGAACATTTTGTTTTAATTCATTTTTCTAGGGAAAAAAACCTTGATTACACAGTATACTAGTCATAATGATAGCGATATGATGACTGTAAAGATGAATTATAAAGAGAAAATAAGCTTGATTATATCAGTAAATATTGAATTAACAATTTTTGTTCTATTGTCCTTCTAAAAGAAAACACGAAATGAATTAATTAGAGTTTAATGAATTGACTGTCTTATTTTACGTATACTTTCCTATTATTGATTTATTTCACTGTCTTCTAGAGTTTTCCATCGTTTAAATATCTCTTGGGCATATGAGTCGGTACGTTGACCCAAAATATCTAATGCGCCATATTCTGAAAATAAAAGTTTTCCATGACAAAAAAATGATTTTGAATATAATATAACGAATGGATTCAAAAGAGTGTACGGTACACATGAAGTATAATTTTTTTTATCAGTATAAATCCCATTTAAAAAAGCTCTTCAGATGGCCAAGCTATCTTCTTTCTTGTATATTCATTTTCACATTTAGAATTGAAACAGTATTAAATTCATCATAAAACGATTACGGCGGCCTGCTTGAATATCTAGGCTACCTGTTTCTGCCATCTGATTATTTCAACAAGTTATCTGTTTTTTTTCGTTTGTTTTAACTTATACTTATGTCCGTTAATTGCATAACCAATTCAGGCGCTTTTATGAAATGCCTACGACCTTTCGCTGCACAGGTTACAAAAAAGTACTATAAAAGACATCGTGGTGGTTGGCAATGTGCGTTAAGGTGAATGAATATTAATCGTATGTCGATTCTGGAGCTGCTAAATTCTAACTGTCGATCACTAATCAACAAAGTGGACTATCTGCAGTTCCTACTAAGTCAAAATACGTATCGTAATTGTGGTGTCATCAAAATTCAAGAATCTTGGTTAAATGATTTACAGTATGACTGCCTAGTATCACTACGTGATTTCAAAATTTATCATCAGGATCGATCAAACAGTAAAAAGAGGTGTGGTGGCGGTGTAGCTACGTTTGTAAACATAAACTGGTGTCGATCTTCGTTTGTGCTTTTTAAGTTTTCAAATGACTTCATCGACTGTCTAACTCTAAAATGTCCAAAACATCTGAATAAATACAAATATGTTTATGTTACCAATATCTACGTGACTCCAGATTGCACATCATGTGCACTATCTGTTTTCGCTGATGAGTTCGCTGTTACTGCCTTCAGTGATTCACTTTCAATTGTATGTGGTGATTTCAATTCATGTGACTGTAGCTTCCTTACGTCACTAGGTCACCAAAACGTAGTAGATTTTCCTACTCGTTTGGATGCTCATTTAGACTTCGTTTTCATTAATGATGTGGGTATATATGCGACTCGTAAACGTGCCTCATTATCTAGCTCGGATCACTGTATAATTCGTGTTCTACCTACAGTATACGGAAAGCATGGGAAGAGTACACTCTATCATCAAACCAAGAAAATCAAATATAGGAATTACTCAGAAGAAAATATCCGAAATCTGAAAAACATGTTTCATACGACTAACTGGGAATTATTTACAGATGACTCACTGGAAAACACTACTGATGTCATCACTTGTTACCTTAAATCCTGTTTTGATATCTGTTGTCCCACTGAAACCATTTTTGTAAGATTTGATCGTCTTACATCTTCACAACTAAAACGACTACGGAGGATGGAAGAAGGAATGTACAAGGAGGAAAACTCTAGTGAAGTTCGTAAGCTAAGTGGTTTGATAAACCTAGAGATTAGACGTCTCAACTCTATGTTTACTCAAAAACTCTTGTCTTGCAAAAACTCTCCAAGTATGTGGAAACTCTTTAAAGAACTTACAGGTGACAGACAGTTTAGGAGCGATAACCAGCTGAATGTTTGTGACTTAAATAAGTCTTTTGTACGTCAGTCATCTGACGTGATGCTCCCTCTATCCACGGGTTTAAATAATAGCTGTGTTCCTACTTTCACTGAGACTGATGTACGAAGATGTCTCCAGTCGCTTAATTCATCTCGATGTTTGGGACCTCCTTTTGAAAAAATGTACTGACGTCCTATGTTATCCGTTCACAACCATCTTTAACAGATCATTCTCATCGAATCTCATACCGAAAATGTGGAGAAAGATGAAGATAATTCCTGTACCCAAGAAAGCATCTGGTGATAAGAATGTAAAATTTAGACCTATTGTAATAACTTCACCCTTCCTCAAAACAATGGAAAAATTATTAATACTTCCACTCCAGCCTGCGATAAAAGAGCATATTGATCCATATCAGTTTGCTTACAGACGCACAAGAAGCACTTTAGATACTGTTGCTGTTCTGCATCACAACATAGTGTTCAACTTAGAAAAGGGAAAGAAGTATGTTCGATGTGCTTTTCTGGACTATACTTCAGCTTTTGATTCTATACCAAGACAACGTTTACCTAACAAGTTAATCAGCGTCAACACTGACAGCTGGATAACCAACTGGCTATGTTCCTACCTCTCTGGAAGGGAACAGTACACTATATTTGGAGGAAAGTGTTCAGAGTCTCTACTGTCTCATGAAGGTGTACCACAAGGAGCTGTTCTTTCACCTCTTCTTTTCTCTTTTTTTCTGCATGATCTGCCATCTTCCACAGTAAACACTTTTTTGAAATATGCGGATGATCTTACTGTATGTTTGCCTATCTCTTACTCTTTACATCCCATAAGAATGAATGAGTTTTTGTCTCGTATTGATTGTTGGTCTGTTGGTAATGGTCTCATACTTAATCCGTCTAAATGTCAAGCTGTTAACTTTAGCATGAGACATGAACGGAATCTAAACACTGTTTTGAAATCCCATAATGCTTGTACCATCGGAGACTCTTTGATAAACACAATGTCGAAGGTCAATTATCTTGGTGTCACATTTTCCTCTGACCTGTCTTGGTCTTCCCATGTTTTATTGTTTTTTGTCTGACTTACTACATAAAGAGATTGCATGCTCTTGGGATTACTCGTCATTTACTCTTGCAATTTGTCAATTCTTGCATATTACCTATTATTCTTTACTGTTCTCCATTATTCTTTTGAGGAAAGACTTTGCTGTATTGCGGAGAGTTTTGAAGGCAGTTAGCAAGATGTGTGGTGAATCTTTCGAGGCCATAATTAATATGGTTGTGGATAGACATTTAAAATCATGCAAACTCCTGGCAGGTGTTATTTTATCAGATACTAGCCATCCCCTTCACTCATATCTTTCTCTTTGTATATCTTCTGGTAGAACGAGACGTAATTACATTAAAATTCATGCACGCAAGCAAAAGTATAAAAGTTCTATAATACCTTACCTAGCAAATATACTCTGTGACGAACTGGTTGTTAGAGTCAACCTAATCAATAACTTGCATTTTTAACATGTCCTTAATTTTAAAAGTTGTAGTTTTTCGGGTTTTTTCTTTTTTAAAAAAATTTTTTCTTTTTTTTGTATTCGTTACTGTGTTTTTTTGTTGTTGCGTAAGTAACTTGTTGAGATAACCTGTGCTGAGAATTCTATATTGTACCAAAATATAATATTGAATAAAGCCATTAATAATAATAATGATAATAATAATAATAATCATGAGTATTTCCTACACGAATAATTCTTTAGGGAATAGTTTTAAGATTCGAACTTCATGGATTTTTAGCTCAAAGCCATGTAAACCTGTAAAATTACACATATGGGAATCGATAAAAATTTTCTCCGACAACACTGACTGATGATCACATTGGGATATAGATTGACTGAAATTAACAACATAGAGCACAGGATCCTATCTGATTGGACGCGGACGCTTTGTAGATTCGTTTGTGCACACTTATGAGAAGTGTTAATAGGATGAATAAGCTATTCATTGCTTACTGCACCAATATTTCTCCAAACGATGTTCATTTTTCATTAAAACATGAACATATGATCCTTAAAGCCAAATAAATATAGAAATAACCTAAAAATACGATAGAATGTATAAACATAAAACGATTGCGATGTGTTTAGGATACAAGGTTACATGGACAGTAAGAGCAAATAATTTGTGATTTACAAGGGTCAACTTTAACTATATCAGCAACACTAGAATATGTACAGTTTCGTCACTATACTAATAGTCTGTAATTTCATGTGTTGGCAAACTACCTCCATTAAAAAAATTGGACACTAACCCTTTCATATTCCTAATTTTAGTCAAAATAACTTTTATGTATCAAATGGTCATTTTCATATATATATATATATATATATATATATATATATATATTCACTTACTTTTACTGATCGGTCGGATCAGCGGTAAGCATAATTGTAACTGTTTGTATTCATTGGCAGATCGATTCTGTAATCGAGAGTTTGAAAAAACTAGTTTCGAATTCTCTGGATTTATTTCCTGTTTATTTGATGATTTCATTAGTAATGAGGGTCGAATAAAGACACATCCTTCAAAATCGTCCGACATAATCAAATCATGATCCATGACAACAAAAGCTAAACAGAATGATGGATGTTGTAATTCTTCTGGAGTAACCGGACTGAAAGTTAAAGAAATACATTTTGATCATTTAAGTCATAAGATATCAAACAGTGGTTTACTTGATTCTATGATTAACAATATCCAACAGTTGCTTCACTAATACAAAATTTATTCTTTTTTGAAATCACCATATAGATGCATGAGATTCAGTGAGTTCTGTTGTTTTCGCTACGACTATTTAAGTACAGAAAGTCTGGGAACATGAGTTTTTCTTTTTATATGAGGTGCCTAATGGTAAATTAGTAGCCTGAAAGCCAAATAAATTGTTAATGTCTCATGTAAAAAAAACCATATCCGTGATTGATTCATGTAATAGATTATATTTTGTATTTAAAAGAATTTGATGAATTTCAAGTGGTTGTAAATATGGTATGATACGTTAAATGCTTAACAAAATCTGATGCTATGATGATTTACTTAATAACAGTATCTCTCTTAACAGTAGTCTTAAAAAATGAGAGTATCGGAAACTTCACTTCCTGATAAAACTCTACAGTTTATTTTTCTTTGCCATTTTGACATGGTGGTTCAGTTGTACTGTAGTGAATAAGAACACGAGTAGTGGGTTAATCGAATGCATTTGACGCTAAATTATAGAGCATCCCAATAAAATCTGAGAACCATATAGTAAATAGTTAATTTGCAAAATATCAATCCATCATATTAAACTTGACTGTTCCTGTTGCAAACATCAGTCCATTGTCTCAGATTTCAGTGTTCATGCGTTTTCATACCAATTGCGTTGCGTTTCCGTTCTTTCCCAATCGACGTTCTAATGAAATGCCTGACCATCGTTATATGCTACTTGTGTGGATATAAATAACCCACACCGCAGTACAAACGATTAAACTACTTTTTTAAAATTTCAGTTCTCATATAGTTAAATAGTTGAAATCTCTGTTCTGTAAACTTATATGTAATTTAATTAGATAACATTATAAATGATAATCGATCTTTCAAATGTAATCAAGTCATGTATATAATTAAATGCATAAACATAATTAGTGTTGATAAGAATGTACTTTTTATCATACGATGTATTTATTAACTATTTTTATTATAGTTTGTATATTAAATAAACACTGAATATGTAAACTTATTTTGTTCATTGATAATAATCAGGCATGTGAAAACTATATAATTAGAAAACATATAAATAAGATAGATAATTTAATACAATTTGACATTAACAATCTCATTTATTGGATAATTAAATATAAAGCTAGTAAAAAAATATATGCTTTAGGTCAAGTTTTCTAATGGAAATATATAAATAGAATTTGGTAAAACAATTTTTACGTTTATATAAAGTAATGAATTGTCTAGAAGTTAAGCGTTCGTGCACGAGACTTATTGGTCCTGGGTCTGAATCTCGCGAGGCGGGATCGTGGATGTGCACTGCTGAGGAGTATTGCGATAGGACAAAACAACCATCCAGTACTTTCAGGTTTTTTAGTGATGGTCTAGCTTTAATTCGTTGATTTTTCATAGTTTTAATAAATATTTTTTGCAACAATATTGTTTTTGATCAAATCCTCATCAGGCTCTAATATATAGTGATATTTATATGTATATGTGAAATTAATAAACTAATCAAGGTAGTTCATGAGTCAGTGATAACAGTGCAATAGATTACATAATTATCATTTTCTTTTTTTCGAAATAAACTTTCCATGGTCTAATTTTCTGAACACTTTTTATTACGTAATCTTTTGAATATTATTTCAATGTCTATATTTTTCTAATCATTGACCAAATTCCCATTATGTAACATTGATTTAAGGCTTTATTATACTTATCACAACTTGTAAACTTGTCATCACATTACCAATCTGTACTTTTCACTTATTATGTTTATTTATGTAATCTATTCCACTGTGATCATTGACTCATGAACGACCTTGATTAGTTTAATAATCTCGTATATTCATATAAATATTACTGTATATTGGAGTAAAGCCTGATGAAAATCTAATAGAAAACAATATTGTTCGCTTGCATATGTTGTTCTAAATCACAATCTGGGAATTTTTCAAACAATTCAATTTTATGTTAAAAATTACTGGAATGCTACTAAGCTTAGTTGTAACTTTGATGATAAATAGTGTAATTAATTCTTTGTTATGAGCTTGGAATTATGTCAATTATCAAGTCCTTATCATGTTTTTAGGGTTGAAATATAGTTTATTGTTTATTATCATATCTTTATTTTGAACACTTAAACGATTTTTAAGGTTTCTGTCATGTTAACACTAATAGCCTACGTCAAAAATAAGTCATAAGGAAATGAAGTAGGAAATATCTCAAGCCTCTCGAGCTATTACAAATGCCTACATCTTGGAACATTTAGAACGTTATGTACTATTCTTTACATGTCACCACCGAAATAAATATATAAAGTGAAAACTTTAAACATTTGATATATCTTCCAATCATGTTTCCATAACCTGATTTTCCGGTCCTAACTAATAACTGCAGCAAATATCCGATAATTAAAAGCTTGACAGATAAAAGGTATCGAATTCGGTCACAATTTTGACATCAGGACACCAACATTAACAATGGATTTCATTCAACGTAAGCAAAACTATGTATAATAATTATGAAATTCACTTAACTCATTGTCCCTTATTCAATATTTAATTGTGCTGTCTTTCAAGTAGGATATGATTGTATTCCATAGAAATCACGGTTGGTTACTTATTATATATTTTTCTCAAAGTGAATTGATTCAATATTTTGATAAGTCATAGATTATCAGTTGATACTTTATAACATCAAGTTACATTATGTATTCATAGATTTTTAACGGAATTATTTAAAATAAATAAATTGGTTTTTTGTTCTCAGAAATAAATAAGAAATTACACCATATCAATATAAATTACCAGAGACGAAATAAGAGTAGTTTAAAATCATTATTCTTCACTAAGATTTTTAAGAGAAACACATCTGAATAGATAAATGCCAAATTATTACTGAATCACAAGAAGGAATTTAATGCATTACAACGCATGATCATAGCCAAAAATAAAAAATGCGGTCAAATTCAATCTAAAAATGTTAATTATATATTTTCACACCACTGTAAAACATGACAGTAGGCAGAAGGTATATACACTTATTTTAAGAAGGTACAAAGAATTTGCATAACCTTCAATCTTCTATATGCATTTTATGGTGCATTCTGCAATCTCAGCTGTTTTCTCGACTCATGTTCAAGTGTTCTGTCAACGTTTTGCTTTCGATGCACTAAAATTCTTCACTCGGTTCTACATTTGTTATAATTTTGAAACCACTACACACTACTTATAAATACCTTCGAGAATAGCGTCCACTACACCATCACCAATCTATCCGTCTTTCATAGAATCTTATATATCTTAACTTGTACTCATCGTTTAGTTATAAATCAATATTCAAATGGTCGAATGACATTCATAGTGAATTATTAAATGATATAAAATTAAAATGTGCTATTTATTTGTGTTTTGAAAAAAAGGAACTGAGAGCTTTAATGAATTATAATGATATACTTACAATTCAAAATGTTCATCAAATACAGGATCAACTGTATTCTTGACAATTCTTGTTCGTGATGACTTTGGAGTTTCCGAAAATATATGCTTAGGTAGTAATTCAACAATTATGAATGGATCTGATAAACCTTTTAAAATAAATGATGATTTAATAACATATATTTTCTTTCTGAAATTTTTTCCTTTAATTCAAAAAGAGTAATGTAACAAATATGGAATATAAAAACTTTCGAATTTCTCGCAATTCAAAGATATTAAAGTTGGATATTAGATGGTATTGAAATGTAAAATGGATATTTCTTCTAATTTTGTACTTGTCAGAAAATTGTGTCTACGTTACAGTATTGTTTGCTACACTATAACTCGAATTCAATACGTTTCACTTCAAACACTATCGTGTAATACACTGAGCTATTAAGTCCAAATAGCTACTGAATTGTACAGATGGTATAAGTTTCATTTGAATGCATTTTACCTGATATAATGACATGTAATGGTAAACTGTTTTAAATTTTCTAATCCTTGTTCATTAATTAAATATTTTCTCAATTGAAACAAATTTCCATAAAAGAGCTTCTGGATACAGATATTTTTGATTAAACATAACTTTTTGGAATAGTCATATTACTGAGCGAGTATTTTCATTTAATCACACTTCAATATCATGCACTAGAGTCTAATCAATGCAACTATTCATCAGTTTAATACAACACAATCGTAAATTTGAGTTGACATTAGTTATCTGATATGAATTGAAATGTATTTGTTTTCAGATACTCTAACTGTGTAATTAGTTGTAAGATAATTAAAGTTACTGAATATTCTGATCCAGTTTAGGAAGCGTTTTATGGTGTAAATTCTGATTGGCAAATGAAAGCCATCAATATCACAATATTTGGAGAAACTTTCTTTTTATCAGTACGGAGTTGTGGAGATTGTTAAGTTTTTTGATTAAGATTATGGATTGGTTGAACTTAGACATTAACACCGTTGGATGCCGTCTCAGTGATATAGAGGTTAGGCGTTCGTGCATGAGACCAAAAGTCCGGGGTTCAAATCCCATACGCGGAATTATGGATGTAAACTGCTGAGTAGTCCTATAATAGAACGAAACGGCCATCCAGTACTCCCGGGTTTTCAATAGTGGTCTAACATCAATCAGTTCATGATTTCAATCAAAGACTTGTTTACTCCGAGTTAAGTACCTATACAGATGTGAAAGTAAAGTAGCTCAACACACACAACTTTGATAAAATATGAAAACTAAATATAACAACTAACTTTCAAATACTATCATGTTATGGTTAAACCAGAACTAGATCATGAATTAAAACTACTGAGAAAAGCAAAATATTCATTATTTTAGAGAAGCAATAAAACGCACTGTGCTCCACTATAGGGAAATAGCTAAATTCGTAAATGCTTTTAAATGAGTAGATTAAATTATACTATACCAATTAAATAGTTTAATTTACCGTTTGAATCAAGTGGTACAAGGTTTGTAGCTCGTTGTATATCTACATATAATGAGGTCCGTTGATAACTTATCTTTACTGTCAATTTACCATATGAAGAAGAACTGGCTAATTCCTAAAATAAACAATGTATATGAGTGTTAAGTTATTGACAACTGGTTCTAAAGAAAGCTAGATAAGAAACCTGTAAATGGAATAAACTTTGATAATTTTTGTGTTCAGAAGCAGTTTGTTGAATTCCTTAGTTTACGATGATCTTGACACACCTCGTTAATCTGCAAATCTGTGTCACCTATTTGTCTTCTTTTATTCTTGTATTTATCAAGCGGACAAGTATCTTTCTTATCATTGTTCTATATCTTTTTTCTTGTAAATTATTTTTGACATTAATTTGTTCATATCCTGTATCATCGTTAAGAGGCGATTTCCGATTTCATACATTATTACCCTCTGGTTATTAGGCAACTTTAAGTGTTGATCGATTTGTAGTACCTCTGTAGGTGACATAAGAGTTCTCTACTTTACTATAAACCTCTGTGAATGAAAAATTACTGTAAATTCACTAGTACAGTTCGAGAAAATGAGATCATTGGAAAGAACGTTTTCCTTGATATAACATCTTCATTGTGACGATTCATTGGGTCTATGTAAACGTTCTTTTGACCATATCAATGTTCTCTATTTTTTATTTGAATTAAATTATCAAAAAATACTCTCACTACTTTGCATATAGTGATTTTTTCTGAAAAGCGGTCAAGACCAAGAAAAACAAACTCTCAGATTATTTAAATTGTTGTGCACAATTTAAATAATGTATAGAATGATACGTTCTTGGATGAAATTGAGAAAAACTCTGAAAAAGGGTGTTTTAGAGCAATTGATCTTCATTTTAATATCAAAATAAGTTTTTAAGTTAGCATTCAACATTTCAACTTTGAATTCCTTGTAAAGGCTAAATGAATGACTTCAGTTTGATTAGTCGATAAATTGTGTGTTCATTCCATGTGCATTATTGAAGAATTACAAGCACAGAATTCGTTCTAGCCGCTTCGTTTATGACTGGATGCATTTAAAGGTTTTTTGACTTTATTGTCGTCTCTAGTCAAACTGACTGTTTTGTTTGGTTGACCTTTAATCATGTGACTGACAGAAATTTAACGTATCGGTTGACAGATTAGTTCAATGTGGATGTGTCTATTAATTAATCTGAAAGCTATACTCCTAGAAATTTCCCAACAGTTTTAGGATTTCTTCGAAGAAGAATTTTAATGTTTTTCTAGTTGAATTCATGTCCGTTGTTGTCTAAGGGCAGTAAAACCAGTGACAAAATATGGAGTACAGACTGATAAGGATTTATAAGGTAAAAAACAACTATCACGTGGGTTCTGGTTTTTGTTTGGTTCCCTAGCTAACGTTGGTTCATGATGTGAACTAAATTTAAAAGACAAAAACCGTGTTAACCTTTCTATTTTATCTGGAAGGACCTAATATTGTGGCAGTGGTAGATCACATTTCCTACGAAAAGTTGTTATTGTCTATTTACCATTACAAATTGTTTAAGCTGTCCTGCATAAACTCATCAAAATGTCTTTGAGGAGTAACCAGAGGAAAATAGTACTTTATAATTCAGTTTTCTGGAAACTTCCTCTCACGGTTGGATGGTGAATAACACAGTATCTACAATATGAAACTACAGTATCTTAGGTGCAGAATTTTTAGGGTACAAAAGTTCTTTTAAATGTTTATTCATTCAAATCAATAACATACTGATATGTGTTAAATCAGTTACAAAATATTTGGATTTAATAATAACCATAAAGTTTTAAGAATACAATTCATTGCAATTTTCCTGGTGAATCGGTCCTTAAATAAGTGTCTTGTGATATGTAAGATAAGAAGTGCACACAAACGCTCATATAAAAACAGTCAAGGTTGATAAGTGAGTAATTAATACGGTCAAAATATGACTAAAAAAGAATAGATAAATTGGACTGTCCAGAAGCCGGAATAATTTATGTGGGCTTAAACAGTAACTGACACTACAATGTTCAACTCATGAATAATGATAGCTTACTTGTTCATTAAGTTTTTCAATGAAATACTGTTCAACTACTTCGGGTGTACTGCTGTTATATAATTGAATCAAATATTTTACATTCTGAAGAATAAAAAACAAACAAACGAACATACAGTGTCTTTTGATAATTACTGTTAACATCTAAAGATTATTATTATATTGTATCGTATGAATATTTCAGTAAAAGAGAACACATATTGACAAGATCCCTGATTAGAATATTGTGCATATTTGTTGTTCAAGGAATGAATATAATACGCATTTTCTAAAGACAAAAATATGACAATTTGTATACCAGCAGTGAAACTACGTTCCGAAGTCAATGAGTCACGGCTCAAAGGTTTCTCCTTATTGTCTCCAGTGTATGGTAAATACAATAACATAACGTTATTTGACCAATTAGTTAAAAAACAACGTTATTTTCAATGCAGTATTCATCTATAAATAGTGAATTATGTATGAAATTCATTAACTTGTGCTTGAAAGGGTAAAAAATCTCATTTTGCAATATTCAGGTAAGTTGTGTATTTTCCTCAACAATCCTTACATTTGTCTTTTTTGCAATAGATTCAAATAATTAGATTTGAGAATCTGATGAGATGTGTATGACTTCTTATTGTCCCAAAGGAAGGAAACTATAACATGAAGACATATTTTTTGAGTTTTTTTAAAGTAAGGAATATAGTAGTTCAAACACGAATTGATCATTGCTAGATCACTGTATAGAAGTGGAAAGCACCGGGAACCCGTCCCATTTTAGTATGGGACTGACTCTTCAGCAGAAGGCATCCACGAACCAACTGTCCTAAATATAACCCAAGACCTTCTCTCTAGTACGGACGCATAAGCATCCAGACCATTTGGCTGTCATTCAATGATGCACATGTCCACCTCAAATGTATTCACTATACTGTACGATCATCTTTCATTAACTGATGATTGGATTCAAAGTTAAGCTTTCATACACTAGAGCAAAGGTCCCAGGTTCGGTTCACGGAGATAGGGTTACGGATATGAATTTCTGGAGAGCCCCGTATTAAGACTAAACAATTATTTAGTTTTTCCTAGTTTTTAATGTGATCTAGGTAAGATCAGTTCGTGATTCATACTATAAACATTCCACAGACTTTCTTTAAAGAAATAGAAAAATTTATTATTGACCTTCAGATAAGCTTATTATGATACAGTTTATCATCCTCTAAAATGACTTAATATATAATAAAAAAGTTCATACTTTTGGTCGGGATCATAATAACGTTATATAACAACAGAAAAGCATATATACATATATTCTAATTACTTTATGTATAAATATGGAATATATGTCAAATTAAACAAACCATAGAACGACAATATTTGAAAATGCGATGAATTCATTGTATTCCGTTCCTTTCTCCTTAGCTTCATCTAAGCTAATAAGTCAAAGCTTTTAAAATTATAAATTTGGAGAATGAATTATTATCAAGGTAATCGATGGTTAACCACTGATGTTTTTAAACATTTAAGTCAAGAATAAACTTTCAGATTGTTATAGCCTCCAAAAAGTTTAATAAGATTTAAATGAACTGTGTTATTTATCACTTTAAATTCATTTATTGTTTTATCGTTATGCACCATATCTACTAGCTGATGGATATGCTGTCAATTTACGTGGGCTTTTTAGTCCTCAGAGACTCAGTTTCCTGGGAATATGTTCAGTCAAACGAGTAGCTGCTCATTTTTTCATCCCTCAGATATACATTTGTATGTAAACTGATATATTTAATTGAGTGTGACATATATATATATATATATATATATATATATATATATATATATATATATATATATATATATATTTGTATACTTTTGTTTGTGCTATGGAGCGTTGAGTTGTGTATGGTAAAACCAGTTTCGCAGCGGTTATTGTACATATTAAGGCTGTTTTTAGTTTTGATTAGTGTTACTCATGATCTGAACCCTTTTTGAATGAAATCAAATAAAAACGTGTTTCGTATCGAGTTTACTAACTTCTGTCTTATATAGTCAAAATACTTTAATTTATTTAATGACATAAACTATATCGCTTGAAAGTCAATACGATAATTATCTGGTTTTGAGTTAAAAGACTAGAGTACTTTATTATGTAAGTATCTTTTATGAGCACTGAATGAGTCAAACACTGAAAACAAACTTAAGCTGTTTCACAAATCTTGAGCGAATCCGTAACAGGTTTTTAATACAATTAAAGTTTCAATTCTAAGTTTTCTTAGATTTTGTAAAAGAAGGCTATTTATATGGTAACAAAGCTAATATAGGAGATTTTAATTATTCTAGATTATATGTTAAAATTAGTAGTGGTTAATGATCCTCATTTAAGAAACGAAAAACGAAGATGCATAAGCTTTCACAAATTCGAATTTTCATGATTTCGTGGTACAATTATGGACATACGCCATTTGTGTTTCTAAGTACTTTTTAGTGCAAAACTTGATACCATCCTGAAGATATTAATCGCCTGTCTGTGTCTATGAACAAAAAGACACCAGATCTTGTCTTCTTAAAACATTAGATCGTCTAGAATATTAGATAAATTTAAAATAATACCGTTAGATTTTCTAAAGTATAATCAGATATGAACTCGTTACAAGAAAGTGGAATGTCTCAGGTATTTCAGGCTTTTACTTGATATAATATATTCTGATTCTGTGCTAACATCCATTGACATTATATCAATAATCGACATCCTTAACAGCTTATATGAAATCTCATACTTAGCTATAATGATGAATTCTATGATTTTTTACAAACATCATATGAAATTTAAATTCACTTGGTGTTGCACAAGCAGGTGGCTATCAGGATTCAGTAGCTAAGTGAAGAACACGATTATGTTTGAAGCGAACGGTAGTGGGTTTGAATCTCAGAGTGAACATCAACTCTGGGATGCGGGTACATCCATCTGACGAGTCTCAAATAGAATGTAACGCGCGTCAAACTGGATTCCACTGCTAACCACTATCCATCTTTGCTTAAAAATTATATGAAATTGGTTTTTCAATAGTTCATGTATAAAGCAAACCCAATTCACTGCTCTCTGATGAATCGATAGTACCCAGTAATATTTCATGGTTTTTGATCACGATATCTAAAATCCCTTTTTTAAAGTTTTGACGAATAGATCTTATTTTAGTCGAATGCTGTTCGACATGATCAAATATAATTTGTTTATTTTTAAACATATCCACATCAGTAGTATATAAAGACGTCAGATATCGAATGTATTTCAATGGAATATTGAGAGGGAAAGGTTGGGAACGAAGAGCAAACGGTATGAAAATGCATGAACAATGAAATCTGAGACGATGGATTGATGTTTTGCAAATTAACTATTTACTGTTAGGTTTTCAGATTTTAGTGAGATGTTCTGTAATTTTGTGCTCAAATATATTCGACTGTCCCTACTCGTGTTTTTGTTCACTACAATACCTCTATCAATCTGTTGAATTAAAGTTTATTAAATACGGAAACAGTGATTTCATTGAAAAAATATGATAAAACAACAGGTTTTAAATTTAGGTTCAATTTATTAATCCATTCGATAGAATGCCTAATGTTTAATTATTATGCATAAATCTAGTGCTACCTAACACTGCACTAATATAGGTGAAGCTGGTACAATAAGAGAATTTCACAATAAGTGATAATTAATTAATTTTTGACTTTATTTAGTATAATTAATATTTTCACCTCTACTGCATAAACACTGTAGAGTAGAGTGAATGTAAATGATCAATGTATTAGTTCTACAATTTCATGAACTAATTATAATAATTTCAATAGTTGAAATCAAGAGTCAATTGAAGCTAGACCACAATGAAGAACCTGGAAGCATTGGATGGCTGTTTCGTCCTATTGTGGGGTTCGTCGGCAGTATGCGTCCAAGACCCCGACTCGCAGTATTCCAATACAGGACCACTCAATCTCGTCCGTGAACGCTTAACCACTAAACCATTGAGTCGGCCAGTATCCAACAGTGTTAATGTCTAACTTCAACTAATCCACGAAATTGAGCGACACATTCACCATTGTCATCAATAAGTTATTATCTTACAACTGACGCTGTTGAACTCTGCTGATCATTGCTTCTCAATAGAACTTCAGGAAATAGCTCTTGAAGCCAGTCACTAGTGAGCATATGTTGATTAATATCAGAAGGGGTTTCGTGGCGGTTTTCCATGGTGATCTAACTTCAATTAACTCATGATTTCAACTATCAAAATTACTACAATCTTTACAAAACTGCTTCTGATACTAATTATAATAAAACAATTTTCTGTATGAAGTCAACGATAGATATCATAGTAATAATATAAGCTGTAATGTATGTAGTATTTTCATAGTATAACGATCAAGTATGTTGTATGAATGATGATTCAATGAGATCATATATGATCATCTTAATTAATAAAATTATAAATAAAAATGATTATTAACTTACATTATATTCTTCTGTTTCTAAACTTCCTTTATTGATTTGATCATCACCAATTTTCAAGAAAAATTCAAGTAATATACCTAAAGACTTTTTTAATCTTTCTAATGTAGATTTAGCTCGAAAAATTTGATTTTTATCTATTTCCATTGGTAAATTAGATATTAATTCATACATTTCATGAGTAGATAATGGTATAATTGTTGGATTATTATTATCTGCATTAAAATCTGATTTAATTTGTAGAAATGCACCAGGACCACCAATATTAGTTGAATTAATTTCACCTTCTTTAATTGTTTGTTCCATATATTGTTCAAGACATTCATGCCATATTGATAGTATACAACGATGCAATAAATTACTGGATACATTAATTTTTAATGTTCTTATATTGGAGTCCAAATAAACGATTAAATCATGCATAGCCTATATAAAAATTGTATCGGTTATTGTGATAATGTAACTATATATATATATATGTATAGAGAGAGAGAGAAAGAGAGTTTTTATCTCTGAGCTAAATGTTTTGGTCAGCTCCAGCTCAGAGAACAAAACTCCATCATAGTATTTCTCAGCTTGTCATTATTCAAAAGTTTTTGTGTTCTTTGAGGTATATGGTTTAATTTCATGGCTTACATTTATTTTCTGGACAACGCCATCAGATTTTACTTTACGTAGAGATATGCTGTTATAAGTTATGTCATGGTCTTTAAATTAATCAGTTTTACTAATCTTATTTATATCTGGTTGTCTTCATAAGTTTTCTTTTATATTTATGTATCTTTGTGTTCTGGACTACTTTGTTAAGTTAAACTGTAATCAAGTGACTGATTGACAATCATCGTGATATATTCATTGATTCTTTCACTTTGATAAATGTTATTATTTATCAGAACGAAATTATATATTCTCACGTTAATAACTGCCAGTGTAATTCTGTAGCTGAGTGCTAGGTTGTGCATTAAGAAACTCAGAAACTCAGGTATTCAAAAAAGACGCATTGTCACCTGTTCTTTCATACAATAATAGATTTCTCCACTTTTACAACCCATTTCTAGTTTAAGAACTTGGTTTGGAACAATCAAGACTAACTTATTACGAATTTTATTCCTATATGTCTCATTGACTTCTCAAGTTTGATCGCATTACTCAGCTATTGTTAAAGGTAACTTTAAATGTCTAAAGTTATTGGAAAGTATCCATTTTCTTTATGTTGTTGGGATAACTAGTTGATAGGTTTTTAGTGTTACAAGCCTTCCATCCGAAACTGATTGTAATTTGCTTTCAGTCATTCGATTTTCACGATGACATCAGATTGTTAAGAATAATTTTGAAACTTAAAAGTAATCAATAGAATATAGTCAGTAATTATACATAGACAATGTGACATTAATGAATACCCGATAAGTGACTAGACTACAACATGTATACGCTTATGAATGAATATATGAGAAATATTCAAATAATAAATGGATAGTTAGTCATGATTTTTGTACAACTATTTATCTATCAAATAAAATGTGATATAATCATTCTTTGAAGTTACTCACCTTATCAACAGGAGTTGATCGTAGACTCCAACATAAATGAAAGACATTCTTTCTGATTTCTGGTCTCATCTTATAAATAAACAAACAAATAAGTTATGCTTATTTTATAACTTAGAGTGATCATGTAAAAAAATGAAGATGCAATTGACTACTAAATAAATGTTAATGATAACAATTACAGTAAGTAAGAAGGGAATATTTGAACTTTAATATCATGTAACATTGTTTTGAAAGATCACAGTGAAAAACTACGATTGAAGGTTGACACATGCATTCTGTAGCTTTTTGAGACATACGGAATAAATGCAATGGTTTATGTACTGAAGTAGTTTACATAGACATTCCGTACAACTTAAAGTCTTTGAAAAAAGATACTTTCATTAAATTACTTAATAGTCTTGATTTTCATATGGTTTTACAATGTAAACGTTAGAAAACAATTGAAGATTATGTGATAACTTAGCATGGTGAAAGATTATAAATAAGTTGACGTTAATCTATTACATATTAGCAGCGAATTATTATAAGAGGAAATATATGTCTTTGTGATTATAGAGGTCAGTAATATAAACGTGTAGTTTACTCTAGAATTTCTTAAAATAACTTGAACATGTATTTAGGGAATAAACTCAAACAAACACTTTTAATATAAACGTATTTTTAATTAAAGTTCTTGATCCGCATCGCGGATTGACAATTTGGTGATTGGTAAAATGATTACAACGAAATAGAAAATTAATTTCAGTACATAATTAAGATTGAAATGTGACGCAGTCAGTATACATATTGATTCGGTTGTTTATCAAAATATAGAACTGATAATAATCATCATATGCTTACTGCTGACTGGCTTCAAGAGCTATTTCTTGAAGTTCTATTGAGAAGCAATGATCAGTAGAGTTCAACCGCATCAATTGTGAGATAGTGGATTAGTTGAAGTTAGACAATAACACCGTTGGATACTGGCCGACTCGATGGTTTAGTGGTTAAGCGTTCACGGACGAACCTGACAGGTTCTGTGTTCGAATACTGCGAGTCGGGGTCTTGGATGCAAACTGCTGAGGAGTTCCACAATGGAACGAAATGGCCATCCAGTGTTTGAAGATTTTTCATGGTTATGTAGCTTCAACTGACTAATGAAGTCAACTATTAAATAACCATAATATCCACAAAAACCTCTTTCTGATAATAGTAATAATAATAATGTCAATTTTTAACAACTTGGAATAATTTTTTCGATTTTTTTTCCTGAGTTTGTTACTGTATGGAAAAAAAGTTACATAAGATGTAGATGCACTATTCGTGTCGTTAAACTTCTGGTAGTGTAAACATTTTTAACTAAATACCAAAAACTGTATTAGTTAATATACATATATGAAGGTTTTTAAACAATGTCCTACTCATTCGAGGAAGAACTTACCAAAGATAATTTTAACAAAATAGATTTTTATGAATACTTACTTTAGCATTCATACGATAGATTGTTCGATTCAATACACGAATAAGTTCACCATATCCTTTATGTTGAAGACGCTTTAAAGTTTCTAAATGTTGGTAGGGAATTTTAGTTTCTTCATCATCAATCGATTTACTGGTTACATTTGTGGTATCAATAGTCCCACTATTATTGTTATTATTATCATTACTTTTAGTATTGTTACTTTTACCAGCGATAGTACCACAAAGAACACTACTCGTGTTGTTAGTATTAGAAATACTGGAAACAACATTTTTATTATTAGACGACCAAGGAGTTTGTACATTTAAAAATAGTAGAATGCATTGAATAAATTTTGAAATTAATTCCAAATTGTTCAATCCAATAGAGAGCTATAATAATATACGAAAGGGTAATAAAAGCAGCAAGCAATATACGGTAAACGTGTTAATGAAATATTTTATTTGTTTCTGGAGTGCATGTATTACTGTTATACGAACCGTATGGCTATTAATATGTATCCTTCTTTGACAAACGTCTTTATAGTTTAATAACGTTTTTCAATGGCATTTATTTTCCGAAAGTTTTGTTATTATCAAGTCAGCCTCAGTTCCTCTTTTTAAATATTTCTGACAAACATAGGTTTCTTACATTTAAAGCTGACTAATTATCTCTTTTGTTGATCAATACTAAACAATTGATGAAGCTTAAATATCAACAAACCTATCATCTCTTAAAATCGAACATTCATAAACTAAAAAAATACAACAACTCAATTTTAGTCAAATGAAAAACAGTAGTTTATTTCGGAGTTACATGTGAAAGTTTTCATTGTGACTTATTAGCGTATTATTTAGATGATGATCACTGAAATTAGGTTACGAAAGTTGGTTTTAAACTTTTATTTATTTATTTTCCATAAATCTAGTGTATAGAATGGTTATAGTGTGTAATAATTCGAGAATGGATTTCAACATTGTTCTACACAGTGCATACCAGACAGTTTAAAATATGTGACGATCCTTGGGCACTTTAGTATTATTCAGAGATAATTAAAGAAAACATTGGTGTTGAACATTTTAGCATGAAATAAAATAGTCATTGCGATAAAATATTTAAAAAAGATCATAGATGAAAACTTACTGAGGTTGAAATATCAAACTGCCCTTCTTCATCACAATATCCTTGTAGACGTAGTTTCTCATGTAACTGTTTTGCATATGATAAAGTAACTTCACAAGCAATCTAAAACATGTTTAATAAATTGAATTACAAACAACACAGATGTTTGGTAATACAAGTGTAGCTACTTATACATTTGTCAGTAGTTCAATTATAAAACCTAATGTGCGAGTTTTTAGAACGTGTCCTCTTCAATAAATACACGTTTATGATTTATCGTTTTATTTAACGTATATATATATATATATATATATATATATATATATATATATATTATAAAACTACGTTATAAATGCTGGTAACAATGATCAACGTTGATTTAATTGTGGCCTTTTTGTGATGTTCACTTAAATTTAAATTTCCTTATTGTCTGATTAACACTGTTTCCACAATATTTAAAAAGCACGTAAAATACAAATAACTATGATGAAATAAACACCGAAGAATCCGTAAGTATGTTTTGTCTGTCCAGTGCCGTCCAGTGCTTCCAGGTTTTCCATGGTGGTCTAACATTAAGTGACTCGTGGATTGGTTGAAGCTAGACAATAACACCGTTGGCTGCCGGCTCAGTGGTCTAGAGGTTAAGCGCTCGCGCGCAAGGCTGATAGGTCTTGAGTTCGAATCTGGCGAGCGGGATCGTGAATGCGCACTACTGAGTAGTCCCACAATAGGACAAGATGACCGTTCAGTGCTTCTAGGTTTTCTATGGTTATCTAGCCTAATTGACTCATAAATTCTACTCTTAAAATATAATTTTTTAAAATTTTATATATAAAAATACATCAGCCGATTATTCTTCAAAACGCAGTTGAATTACATTAAACTTGAAAGAATAATTAAGTTTCAATTGTTTTGTAAACATCTGAAAACTATTAACATAAATAGTACCAATTGATTAATAAGAACGTAAACAATCATTAGGTTTAAGTTAATTGGGATATCTTTCACACATATTTAATCAGTATAAAAGCATTATTAAAAATGTTTTGAAACAAATATAATTCGTCATAATTATTATTTGGAAAATGAATCTACTGCGTCAATGCTACTTTTTACAGTTGTTTCTGTGTGTATATTTTCGTGTTATCTTATTCAGTTGTATATATGTATAAATAATTTGTGATATTAATACTTAACCTCTAATTATTATCAGTTACTATGTTGTACATTGAAATGACTGTTTTTCTGATTCATAAAGATCTATTTTGTGATCTAATTATTTAATTTAAAAACAAATTCTACACATATTTTATAAACTAAACAAATAACAGTTAATTACTTTACTGTGATCCAAGTAGTTGGTTTTTATAGAAGTTTAATTCAAATATAAGGCATAAATTATCACACAAACACTCTTAGACGAAAATACAATGCTGTGAAAACAACATCATATAACAATAATAATACTATCAAACTATCATATCAATAGAAAAAGTTATAAAAATAATAATCTTTTTGTTGAAGTAAAAAAAAACTTTAATTAATAATTTTCCTCTTTAAAGAGAGCAAGAACAAAGTTTGGTGCAGAATAATATGAATTCATTTTATTTCGTTAGGTTTTCATCAGCTGCTTACAACCTAAAATATTTGAAATTCAAAATTATTTAAGATATTGACATACTTGTACATAAGAGGATGATTAAAGATGAATATATGTATCATGATGTTGCAAAGATTCCGTTAGAGTTAATGAGGTCATAAAATTTTATTTCGAATAAATAAATTTTGTGCGGGAACCTTCCAGAACATTGAAATAGTGATTAGAACTCATGGAATTAAAAACATATTGGATAATAATGTAATCAAGTAATTGAGAATAGATTACTGGTAATAAAGAAAGATATGAATTAAGATCAGTCAGTTATGAATGATGCAATTTTAGAACTTAACGAAATAGAATGAATTCATATTATTCTGCACTAATCATTGTTCTTGTTCTCGTCAAAATAATAAAGTGAACTATATGTATGAAATTTTCCTCTTTTTTTTGTCTTTAATTAAAAACATTAGTAAATTTACAATAATCTAAAATCCGTATATACCAATTGTATCCATGACAATAAAAAAAAAGCGATTACAATTCGCAAATAGATTTATTTAATTAAAATCAACAACAAAAAATACAAAAAAAAACTTTATTCATTTTCATTTGAAATAAAATAAACACATTTTATGCAAATGAATTCGCATAGAGAATTTTTAAAAAACAAAAACTAGGTAGATACAATAAAAAAATTAAAAAAATTAAAAAAAAATAAAAAAAATAAAAAAAAGAAACATACTTGAACAATTTCAATAACATAATTATATTTAGTTTGTTCATCTGGCCAATTAATCAATAACCATGTGTTTATTAATTGAGTCAAATTATTTGTTATTTGTAAACTTGATATTGAATGTAAACCAAAATATTTTTCTATTTTAATTTCATTTGGTAAAAAATTTATTAATTGTTCATTAGTTGGTATAAGCTAAAAGTTAAAAAAAAAGAAAAAAAATGTTTTGGGTTTGTTTGTTTTTATAAATAAATAATAATAATATTTTAAATAAAGATGAATAATGATTAGTAATGAAATCTAGTTTGTTACGCGTTTCATTTTATTGGGAATTTGTCAACTGGATCTACTTGCACATATTTCAATATGAGACTGATCAATTGAAGTCCAACATCACAATGAAAAGATATAAGTAAAACAACAACAAGTGAATTTAAACTTCACCTTATTGCACAAGTAAGTGGCTATCAGGACTAAGTCGATAGTGCGATGGCGTTTGTAAGCGAACGGTATTATTCGAGTTCGAATTCCGGAGTGAACATGAACTACGAGATGTTAGTAAAACCAGATGACTCGTCCGAAATAGGATGAAACACGCGTCAAACTAGATTCCACTGATAGCCTCTATGCATCTCTGCTTATAAAGTTTGTGAATTAAGTCTATATTGAGACAATTCACACAGGATGCGCATATGTCAACATGAGACTGATCAATTGCAGTCCTACGTAACAATCGGAGGAAACAAGTAGAACAACATCAAGTGGAAGAAAAGCATTTTTTTAGAAAAAATGTCTTCTATTAAATAAATACTACGATAGTTTCATGAAAAACGAATTAATATCATGTGGATTGAAATTTGGAAATTATATTATTAATCGAAATATGTTTTATAATGTATATTTATGCTTGAAACAATAAAGATATTACTTCAGCAAACTGTACATGTATTAACAATATATGACGTTTTTCACAAACTATTGACAGTAGCCATAAAACAGTTTACTGAAGATAAACTCTAGCAAAAAACACCAAAACATTACAACTTGATGGTAAAAGTGTAAGACAGATTGCTGGAATGCTTCGAATTCTATTAAGACTATACGAGCAAGAATTTAATTCAAATCAAAGTTCGTAAATTAAAAACAGTTTTGTGTAGCTTCGTGTAGACCAGTTGTCTTTTTTTGATGATAACCTCAGACTCTAAATTTCATAACGGATTTTATTATAATATGTATGTACATTGGTTGTTTAGATCTTCCTACATGTACTTAGGACTGCAACCTATAAAGTACGTCCAGCTGACTAGTTACAAATTGACCAATATATAAGTCATGGATTCCACTCTTACCCACCATCTATCTCTGCTTTGAATTTCAGTATATTTAATAAAATCGGTTATAAGATATTCATTTTATGGATTAATCTATCAATTACCACTTATTTCAATAACTAAGCGACTCTTTATTATTACTATTATCAGTGGTTTTATTCAATATTATATTTTTGGTACAATATAGAATTCTCAACATAAAGTATTTCAACAGGTTTCCTTATCTTATTTCCTGATTGATCCTTGCGATAAATATTGATTAGTCACCAGTTAGATGTTAGCAGTTCAGAATGTGACATCTGAATAATGTACATTTTCTTCTATGCTTGTGTCCAAAACCACAATGTTTCTAATTGGGCTCTTTTGCAATTTGTACAGCTTAATGTCATAAACGTTTCACAAACGCACCTGAATAGGTTATGAGACTAATATGATGTGTTAAAATGAATAAGAAAACAGATAACTTGTTGAAATATTCATATGACAGGAACAGGTGGTCTTACTCGAATCAGATGCTCTATACTATGTTTCTTATTGATAAACTTCATCGAATATATAATCAAAAGTAAAAAAGTATACAAGAATACAAAATGTATTATTGTTATCAAGAAACTGAAAGTTAAACTTTTATGGAACATAAAAATCAATTCAAAATAATATAGAGACAAGATAAGAAACAATAATTACATAATTAGTTTGTATAACATACTATAAGATAAAAACAATAAATCAAGTAAAGAATATTCACAAAGTAAAAGATAGAATGATTAGCCGATAACATAACTAAAAATGTAATTCTCAGGCTTCCATGTGTATTACTTGAAGACTTTAATATTGTTTTAAATTTTGAATATATATCCTTAAAAAATTAAATCATTATAATGAACATCTCGTCATAACAATTTAATTCTACCTCTTGTTATATAAAAAAATATAATCAGAAGTGTATATTTTTATACTAAGTACCAAACTGTATAATATAAAGAATATATTCTTAATTTTCTCTATACATCATTTGAAGACAGCTATATAGAATATTATTAATGGTTAGATTTTATATAATTCAATGAAATATATTGATTTATTTTGTAATTTAATGTCATTCAAGTTGACCAATTGATTTGTAAATGTGAAACTTATTGTTAAAGTGTTTCTAAAGGACTTTGTTACAAAAAAACTTCTATCTGAGAAAAATAATAACTATATATTCACTGATTGAAATCATGAGTCAATTGAAGCTAGACTACCATGGAGAACCTGTAAATACTGGATGGTCGTTCCGTCCTAGTATGGGACTTCTCAGCATTGTGCATCCACAAACCCGCACCCTGCGAGGTTCGAACCCAGGATCTATCAGTCTCGTGCCAGGTGCTTAACCAACTAGACCAATGAGTCGGCACTCAATAGTGTTAATGTCTAACTTCAACCAATCCACGAAAATGCTCCACCGTACACCATTGTTATCAATGAGTTGATATCTGACAACTGATCCTGAGTTCGAATCTCGCGGGGTGCAGGATCGTGGATGCGCACTGCTGAGGGGTCCCATACTAGAACGAAACGGCCATCCGGTGTTTCCAGGTTTTCTATAGTAATCTAGCTTCAATTGACTCGTGATTTCAATTAATGGAATTTTTAATATCTCCACAAAACCCCTTCTGCTAAGGATATATTCAGTTAATTTTTCAGATATATACTTGATTAAATCACAAACATATTTTTTCAATTTTTACATTCTGTTTAATAAAACTATTAAATACATTGAATATCAATGATCTATTTTTGTCTTATAATAATTACATAACAATCTCATTATACCTTATAACACAATGTTTTGACCGAATCATTTATTTCAATTATTTTTCAATACAAATATGGTAGTTTATATATTATTCATTAAGAATTAGTAAACATATAATCAACCATCCTAGATCATTCTATATTGTTCATCTATAATTATTTGATCTTTAATATTAAAATTTGAATAAGTTAAAGAATAGCATGATTAAAAAAAGGAAGAGATCTTATAACTAATGATAATAACAGTTTATAAGGTTAGTAAACATCCTGAACCCTTATACAAAAAAAAGAAAAAGAAAAGCAAAATTAATATTTAATTTCTTTGATACTTAATTCTGTTAAAATAAAATTTCTATTCGATTAAATAAGATTTACTTTATAACTAACTAGTTATATGAATTAATTATAACATTTCAATTTTTGGGTCATGTCCTGAAATATTAAATATACCATTATTAAATATAAGAAAATTTCAATCATAAATGGATTTTGCTTATTTATTCCTCCTCCCCTCCCCGCAAAACAAATAGATAAATAAATAAAACTGATTGATGATAGACCAACATTGGAAACCTGGAAGCACTGGATGACCGTTTAGTCCTATTGTGGGACTCCTCAGTAGTGCTCACCCACAATCCTTCTTCTATGATTTAAACCCAGAGCCTATAGTCTCGTGCGCGAACGCTTAACCTACTTGACCACTGAACTGGCATTCAATGATGTTATTATCTAACATGAATCAATCGATTCAGTGATTGAATGTTATAGATTTGAATTAAGATAATATCAGTTTTCAGTAGTATAGATAGATTATTGTGCATTCAAAGGATCTATCAAGAAATCTCATAAATAAATAAAAATGTTTTATTAACCAATTGTTAATGTATGTAAAATGTAATAAAGATGAAAAGATATATGATAGAGATGAATGATTTTCATACTTTATTTAAACAATGAAAATAGGTAACTTCGTATAGTGATCTGGTCTCGAGATAATTTCTACTGCTTCATATATATATTAATCACTCTGATAACCGTTATTAAATAAATTTAGAAGGTAATATAAAGCGACGATCACAGTTTGCTATTGGATAGCCCAGATTACATAGTTACAAGCACATCAGACGAATACAGAGGCAAATTGAGAAGCAAATCAATTTGTAAGATTCAAACACATTTGTATATGAAAAAGTGAATGGTTCATCGGTCAGTATTTAAGCAACTAACATTTAAGTTGAAGAGAGGGTTATGTGCGTAGGCTGTCGCATGTGATAAAGCATACATGTTCATACATTCATTATAATAATAATGATAATACAAAGAAATAGCCGATTTGTTACTGTTCGAATAACACTGTCTGTTAAATAGGTTAACTAATAGGCTCGATAAAATTGATCATAAACAAACTTAATTGTAGAAGAGATGATATTTGGGATTAATGGAATTGTAGTTTTTATTTCATCAGTATTTCAAAACTAATACAATTTATTAAAAACACGAGCAGATCTTAACTAGATTACTATTGAAAACTTGGAAACACTAGACAGCTATTTCACTCTGGTATGAGGCTGAATCTTAAGCAGTGTGCATCTACGACTCCACAACTAAAGATCAAAACCCAGAATCTTTGGTTTCGTACTTATATAAATTTATATTAAATAAAACGGAAGATTCGAAATTTTAACTTTGTATTAGTATTGATAATAAAGATAATTTGTTTACTTATAATAAGTGGGTACGTAAAATTTCATTTACACTTCAAATGTATTGTGCATAATCAGAAAAATTATATCTACCCATTATAATTTTATTGATTGGATTAATTTCTTTTTTACACTTAATTATTTGTTTTTGTCTCGATCGTCCTAGGAATCGTAAAAAGTATTTAGTAGTATATGTTAATTAGATATAAGATAATAAAAATGTTTTTCAGTGTAGGGTTGTGGAGATTATTAAGTTTTTGATTGAGATCATGAATTGATTGATGTTAGACCACCAATACTATGTAGAACAGTAAATAAAATAGGATGTAAACATTAGGTTAATGATAAAACTCCTATTAAT